GGGGGGGGCGGAGCGTCGGTGTCGACTTCGGCGCCGCCGCGAGGAGACTGCGCTGTGCGCCCTGGCCCGCACGGCGGCCAGGCACTCGGAAGGCAACGGCGACGTGCGCGCCTGCCGGGGCTGCGGGTGTTGAGATCGTTGCTCGTCGCGAACGCGCTCGTCCTGGCGAACGATAGAGCGTTCGAGTCTGCACGCTGCAGCAGTCGGCTTTGAATGGATTGTTGGGTTCGGTAGTTGTGGTCCTAGTGTTAGGAACTAGCTGTCCCCTTCTCCTGACAAGCCTTGTTAATCCAGGCTGGATTAAAGGTGAGTTTTGTTCTTGGCATTTTTAAGCCTTGGTTAATTTATTTTGATTTCTTGGTTCCGATGTGAATAGTAGTGTGAGTCGGAAATATTTTTCTTTTCTTATCCGAACTTCTTGTTTAATAATCGTCATGTTGAGATTGACTTTATGATTACCTGAGGAGAATTGATTCATTTATGTGGGGTCCCTGGCTGTGAAATGGAAAATTTGTGGATCTTATCGTCCGAGAGGACCTGATTAAATAATCTGTCTGTTAATTTGTATTTCCTGCATTCCAAATAACTTGTATACTATTTATGCCAGTCTCTATTGCGTGCGTGTATTGAAGAATTCTTCATGACTGAAGCGAGTATCAGGCGGTGCTCTTCGACAAGTTATCTTCGTTGGTTGTTCGTTAACATGAAACAAAGTGAATGAATGTGCAAAAATTGAGGACACGTTTTCAGAGCGATTAAAAGTATCAATACGCCCCGTCGATATAGTTAAATGCGTCATCAGCCCAGAAGGTATTTTAAAAACACGATTACGATATTTCCGGAACAGGCGATGCCAGAAGTCAGCTTCGGGGTGTCGAAGCGAGTACTGTCATAATAATTTTCCTAAAATGTTGAGTATAAATTTGTTTTTCATATCATGTGTCTTTTCCTTATTTCAGTTTCATATTTCAATCTATATTCTAGTAAACAAGTGTAAATAAACAATTACATACGACATTATAGCCAACAGAAACTCTGTATTGTTAGTGGCGCCCACAAATATTTAGAAAACAAATCACAAATGCTGACGAAACAAAGTGTGTCCTTCCGTTCCGTTATAATCCCATTGTCAAGCGTTTCTCACAACACGATTTGCTTTCGTTCGTAATGAAAGATATTTACCTACATGTCTCCCAAAGTATCTCGCTGTCCAGAAAGCGAGTGAAGGAATGTAAAGCAATATTGTAAGTACTAAGCAAACATATTAGTGTGTTGCGGGTTGCAGGTGCGACTGCTGAATTTTTAAAAAATGTCAACAAAATTCTACATTTTACACCCTCATTTACACTTCCATGCACTACATTACCACACATGTGAGGAGATCAGCCGGGAGCTTGGGAGTTTGACCTGGCTGAGGCACTGCCCCTCCTATAGAGAGAGTTTTGTAAGAAGGGACTGCTTTGACAGCTACTTCTTGTCTACTGCTAGCAACATAACTGCGGGGTATGTCCACGCACTTAATTCGTCAATGCAGTCGTTCAGTTAGCTCATTGCAACGCCATCGCTCTGCATGGCGTCCATTTGCTCCCCGGCGCGTCCTGAGCTGGTGCGCGCGTGGTGTTGCAGCGTCCAGCCGCGGCCTGCGCGCCATGCCGCCCGCGCTGGGGCGGCGGCGCACGGCGTCGTGCCTGCGCACCGCGCTCTTCCTCTTCCTCGTCACCTTCGTGTGGCTGCAGCTGCACGTGGCGTCGCTGGGCGGCCGGCCCGCGCCCGACCCGCCGCCCGACGCGCAGGGCAACGACTCCGTCGCCGCGCTGCTCAGCATGGTCCCGCAGGTCAGCGCACTTTACATTTTCGCTTTCCCATTTGCTTTCTTTACGCTCAGATTACTGAAATTCTAACAAACGCGTGTGATAAGAGTACAATGTAGTCTTAATAAAAAGTTTATGGTACATAATATCAATGATTTTCAGCTTCCTACAAAAATTGAATACCGATAAAAAAACAAACATCGGTGGGCTTGTGAGGGCCCCTCACTCTTGATATTGCTAGAGTTATTAGTCTGATAATTGGTGATGAAACCATAATCGATTGAAAGTATTCTCGATTTTGAAGATCTTTATAATACTGTGCATCTTGTTAACTACGTTCACGTTACGACATATGACTTTCGTAGGAAATACCACGAGTGCTTTAGAAATTGTTGATAATTCCCAACTCGCGGAGCAAGAAGTGGTATCTAAAAAGACTATTCCACGAATGAAATTACGTCCAACAGTTTGAAAATGCGTGAAATATTGAAAATTACTGAAAGCGTATGTTAAATTAATAGATGTTATGTTATAACACATACGCGATTTATTTCACAATGCACATCAACCCGGCGATCAATACATAGCGCCTCCTTAGATAGGTGAGTCGTAGTTTATTATTGGCAACCAGGGAGGAGAGGTCAGAAAAATGGGATAGAAAAAGCGATACACTTTTTGAGATACACGGTCCTAATAGTGGCAATTTGTACGCATAGTTAAACAGTATTGGTTTTAATATCACGAGTGGAATAGTCAATGTAAACTAAAGATGCTCGAGTTTGGAGAGTGTTAAGCTAAGGTATTCTCTTATGTTTTGTCAGATACCTTATACTATTACTAAAAAATACTTATACTATTGCAAAAAAAATATTATTTCTTCTTTTCATCGAAATTATACTAAAGAATTTCTGTAGAAACTGACCCCCAAAATTTTAAAAACCTTATATTCGTGAATGAAAATATGAGAGACGCGAAGCCGAAGCGTTTCGCTGTGCAAAAGCCAAATGTGGGCGTGGCGCAGGGGCTGCACAAGTACCTGACGCCGCGGCCGCGCAACGCGTCTGCCGCCGGCAACGCCAGCGACGCCGCGGCCGCCGCCGCCGCGGGCCCCGCGCGCCCACCGCTCAACATCTCCGACATCCGGCGCAACATCGAGCGCTACAACGAGCAGCAGAGCGTGCTCAACGAGGACGCCTTCGGCCCGCTCACCAACGACTCCGTCGTCATCGTGGTGCAGGTGAGCCTCCACGCACTTCTCAATGATCCTCAGTTGCTCTCTACTTCTCTACTGCTGGCGGCGGAGAATTCCCCACCCAACGTCACTTTGTGGAGGTATACCCATTGCTCCACCCGTAACCCACTCGCCGGCTCGGATATGGTTGTATGGGTGGGTGGCCTCCGCGCCCCTCGCCACTCCTAGTCTCCCCCATCGCGGACCCTCTTCCAACACGTGCTCACCACCCACACGGACGCCGCGGAGGAAGTGAATCGGCACGCAGTGACCCGCTAGCAACAAATCAACAATTCGGTCTGTATTCGGCGCAAATAAATCCTCTGTCTCCGACACTTTCTCGACTTGACTCTTCGGACGGCTGGACCGTTCAAGCATATCCCCGTTCTCCAAGACAAGGTATCTCCGATCTCCGGCACCCATTTTGCCGCGACGGTTTACTCGCCAAGGAACCTGACATTACATCCTCCCCGCTTCAGTCAGCACGAGTATTTCAATGCCCAATCCTACCGTTGAATACCTCCTTTCGCCGTTTCTCCACAACAAATGACTGCCCTTCTCATTGCAGTTGACCGCCTCCCTTCCCACTCCTGCTCCATCTCCGCTCCCACCGACTCGTCTTCCTGGCACTGGTATGTGCATGCGTTGTTACCCAATCCCATTACTAACGGCTGCATTCCCACTCGGTGGAGTTTTTTAAACAGTTGAGTCGTCATCCATCCGGATCCTCAGCTGTAACTGTCAGACACAATCAGTCGTCCGTTGCCCAAGATTAGAGAAAAAAACTGTTTAGATGGGACCAATCGTAAGGAGTCAGGATAGAAAATTAGCCTATTCATTTCAGGGAATATTTTCGCAAGCTACAATCGTGAATCGTTTAAAGCAATTTTACTAGATGTTAGATTCGTAATGGTAACATGATTTTAGTTTTGTTCAAACGTACTAACAATACTTTTTTGTCACTTTTTCTTTATATATATATATATATATATATATATATATCATATATATATATATATATATAATATATATATATATATATATTTTTTGCCATATTTCAAATACATTATGAATATCCGTATAAATTAAAAAAAATATATTATTGAAAGCGAATACAAACAAAACATTTAATTTATGAAAGTGAATATAATTAATGCACTGAAAGCAGCATTATTACACTTTCACATTTCAAAGAATAATTAAAGAGAAAATAATAATAATTTTCTGTAATATTTTCTACAATTTGCAAGCTGAAGTATTGGAGAATTTAAAAATATGATACAAGTAAAAAAATCATGTCACAGTTTTGGAGGGATTGTTAAATAAGCCTTTCACTGCTAATCGCTGCGCGCCGCGGCGCTGGCAGGGCTGCTGCCCTCACACTTCGCTCGGGAAAGGGAGCCGCTGCGCTGCACACTTCGCGCTGATGCGTGGCGTAGTCAGCGGCCGAGGAGTAATAATATACTTTATGTATTTTCCATCCTTTTTCTAAAGATTCCCCATTCGATGCGCCTATCGTTCTGTCATATCGATTAATTCATGTCAATACAAAAATAAACGAGGTCGAAATCCGTAAAACGAGTCCAAAACATTGTGCAAATGTGGATGTAACAACCTCAAATAGGATCGAACGACAGGACACCAGAAAACAAACGCCAGCTTGACAAATATACCTTCAAAGGCCGCGCTTTCGAAAAGGGAAATATTTATGAAGTTTACAATCAGCTCTCCCTAACCTCTCCCGCGCTTAATCCAATGACCTAATTTAGAGCTCCTCGACCTCGGCTCCATCTATTAGCAATAAAGAATCATGATTACCTTAGGAAAATACCAGATGCTGTCCCAATCACAGGAATACAATGCCAAATCTTGTAGGAATGAAAGAAACCAACCCGATATCGTGCATGCACAGTCAAAACATCCGGGGCACCGCCTGTACCGGAGACAGAGGCAGGTTCATAACGCAAGAGGTACGAATCCAGGCGGTCGTACAGACACGTTAATACGAGCAGTAAAAGGGTAAAAGTGGAAAAATCTCGGACATGTCTGATAATATGTTTCGGATGACATCTTGGCGCTGACGTAGTTCGGCGAGGAAAGCAAAGATCTTACCCTAGAGGTTTCGCAGAGGTTTCCAATTTTTAATTTTTTTAAAATTAAGTTTAAATTAAAAAAAAAAAATAAACCACTAAATATTTTCGTGTTCGCGATCGGAGATGTGGAACGATGAGCGATTCGCACGCGTGACGATTTGTGGAACGCTCGAAACTGTCGCGGTGGGTGACCAGTGCAGTCGGTGCGAAAGGTAAACAGGCGTTTAAAAAGCGACTTCCTTCCCTCTCTCCGTCCTCACGACCGGTGCGGTCGCGGCGCCGCACCGTAGACAGAAGAGCCCCCTCCCCTCTGAGTGGTAAAACACGGAAGAGAAACTTTTCGCGCAGGCAGGCGAAGCACCGGAAAGTGAAATGTTACGCCGCTCCGCGATCATTGCTCTGACAAATATCCCGAGCGTATGGATAAATGAAACATGCGGAAACTGGGAATGGGCTTTTCGGAAACGAAGTAGTAATACTGAAGAAAATCTCTATACGTAGTATAGGGAATGGATTGCGAGATTTCAGCGGAATTACATGTACACATTTTGAAATTCCCTGATACCGAAAATATTTTTTTTTTTTAAAACGTTCATCTGCCTTCTATCCGTCCGTCTGTTTATCCGTCCGTCTGTTTATCCGTCCGTCTGTTTATCCGTCCGTCTGTCTATCCGTCCGTCTGTCTATCCGTCCGTCTGTCTATCCGTCCGTCTGTCTATTGTCTATCCTCCTCGGTCTGTCTATCCGTCCGTCCCGTCTGTCTATCCGTCGTCGTCTGTCTATCCGTCCGTCCGTTGTCCTATCCGTCCGTCCGCTCTGTCTATCCGTCCGTCCGTCTGTCTATCCGTCCGTCCGTCCCTGTCTATCCGTCCGTACGTCTGTCCCTACCGTCCGTCCGTCTGTCTATCCGTCCGTGCCGTCTGTCTATCCGTCCGTCCGTCTGTCTATCCGTCCGTCCGTCTGTCTATCCGTCCGTCTCTGTCTATCGTCCGTCCGTCTGTCTATCGTCCGTCCGTCTGTCTATCCGTCCGTCCGTCTGTCTATCCCGTCCGCCGTCTGTCTATCCGTCCGTCGTCTGTCTATCCGTCCGTCCGTCTGGTCTATCCCGTCCGTCCGTCTGTCTATCGTCCGTCCGTCCTGTCTAATCCGTCCGTCCGTCTGTCTATCCGTCCGTCCGTCTGTCTATCCGTCCGTCCGTCTGTCTATCCGCGGTCCGTTCTGTCTATCCGTCCGTCCGGTCTGTCATATCGTCGTCCGTCGTCTATCCGTCCGTCCGTCTGTCTATCCGTCCGTCCGTCTGTCTATCCGTCCGTCCGTCTGTTCATCCGTCCGTCCGTCTGTTTCCGTCCGTCCGTCCGTCCGTCTTTGTATGCTGTTTACTTCAGTGTTCAGAGTGGTCAAAATGGCTCATTGCTGTGTCCGATGTAGTTAAGATCGCCTGGAAATACGTGGATACAAAGTATTGCTTTATTCATAAACGATGAAAAATAAATATCAATATTCAATTACTTCTCCTCTTTCTTCTTCTCTTTCTCCTTCTTCATCTTCTCCTCTTTCTTCTTCTCTCTTTCTTCTTTCGTTTCTTCTCTCTTTTTATTCTTATTCCTTCATAGCTTTAACGTCTTGAATTCTAACACTTTCGAGAATTTCTTCAATTATCTCCATTGCTCTTCGTCGGCTTCCGGCTTTCATTGGCCGCTTAATATACCAATATACCAAAGCCGCTTAATATACCAAACGGCTGCTATCATATACACGACGAATCTATCATATACAGCTGTAGTCAATGCCATTAATACAAAAAAATGCCATTAAGTGCTCGTCATTTGTATATTCACTCGCGCTAAAGCGCTCTTATAACTAACTTGCTCGTAATTACCTATTTTACCCCCTTGTAAAATAAATAACTCTTATTCTGACTGCAAGTCCTCGTTGCAGGTGCACACGCGCATCACGTACCTGCGCCACTTGATCGTGAGCCTGGCGCAGGCGCGCTACATCGAGACGGTGCTCCTGGTGATCAGCCACGACGTTTACGACGAGGAGCTCAACGAGCTGGTGCAGAGCGTCGACTTCTGCAAGGTCATCCAGATCTTCTACCCGTACAGCATCCAGACGCACCCGCACGAGTTCCCCGGGGAGTCCCCGGGCGACTGCCCGCGCAACATCCAGAAGGAGCAGTGAGTAGCGCTTCCACGGCTTCCTCCGTGCCTACAAAGAGGCTAGTAAGGGATTCATAGACATCCGGGCGCAAAAAACAGCTGTTTTTGTGCTGTCCTGTCCTTTGGCTCGGGGTTCGTGTGGTTAGCACGACGACATCTCTCCACCGTATATACTGGTCTTATCAACCTAAGGGTGGGCTTTCTCGTAGTCACACAGCAATAGATTCTGGGAAATTTGTGGGGAAAACGCAGTTATAATTTGACCCGGCCGGGAATCGAACCCGGGATTGTGTCATGGAAAGCGAGCATGGTAACCAACGAGCCACGCGAGTGGGTATTTTTGTGCTGTCCAACATAATAATCGGCCAACTTGTGTGAGTGAGTCCGTCATGGTTAGCCCTCTTCTAGTTCACCGTCTGGGTTCTAATAGGTGCGAGGTGTCTCTCGAAGCGTCTCTGCATGCTGGAACTCGCCATTTTTGTAGTCCTCTTCTAATGTAATGTAAACACCTTAACTAAATATGAAAATAATTTTACAATCGTTTAAAACATCGAAGTCGCTACAGTAAGCTAATTGTGCTAGAATTGTTGGCTCCTGTCACATCTTATTCATGTTGTGTATTTCATAAACCGTTCAACTGGTGGTCTCCGGTTTACCCTAACACTAATTTCTCCATATCTCGAAAGCGCTTCCATGCGGGTTCTCTTTTTTCACCTGAACCATTAAATGATTTTCGCTTCAGGAATCACTTTCATTATACAAGACGGAAGTAGTTTACAGGGAAAGTAGTGTAATGCTGCACGGAACTAGTGGTGCTACACAGCACATACTTTTTTGTATTATTTGTTACTATTTCGTAAGATTTATAATACTAGTTTAACCCCAAAATGGTTTTCCAATACGCAAAAATTGTTGGCAGGGTAGACACGCGAGCCTAGGCTCTTAGGTTCAGAAGCCACTGTCATAAACAACTTCGACACGTTACCCTCATGAAGCAGTAGTCAAAATACTGTTTAATTGCTTTGTTTGCTTTTACCTTTCAGAAAATTCTCAAAAATTACAAAAAACATTTTTAATTCGAAAAAATTCTTGAAATGCTTTAGTTACCTAATATTATGCATAAAATATGCACATAATATTATGCATGAAATAAATCTCTAGCTTAAAAATTAAAGATGAGGGACAATTTCGATCAAATTAGAACTTAATGATCAAATAGCAAAATGTATTTGAAAACACCTAATGTTTAAAACTAATGTTTAATTAATGTTTTAAAAATAATTTACATAACACCATTTAATTTAATTAAAATATTCGAGAATAGATTACATTGTATTGTAATAAATCTCAAGCTTCATTATTAAAAGTGTTACAGGAGTTTGAAAAACATTGAACTGCATCTTTCAAACGTCTAGAGGTTGTAATGAAAATAGTACCTATTCCACATTTTTTTAAATATCTTTACTCTACTTTTACATTTTTTGGAGCCGATTCCAATAACATATTTTTTACTTTTTTTTAATTCCCCCTACTTTTCTCAAAATTTTACTAAAACTACTCACATTTTCAAACAGATGTACAAAGATAATTTTGAGGAACAGATTTCACTCAGAAAAAATTTTATCTTCAAGCATTTATTTCTGGAGGATGTCTAAATGATAATGAAATGATTTCACGACATGATGGATCAGGGTATATGAAGTAGGGTGAAAATCTGTGTACGGTTTTAGTTCACAGGCTCGGCGAACTAACGTTTTGCGTAAAAACTTTTTTTTTCTGTATATAGGACAAGGCGTGGATTCTGACCACACTACGTATTCGAGATAGGATCAAGGAAAAGCCTCTTTTTCAGAATCATGACCCACAAAACGGTATGTCTTTTCGATGCAGCAATACAATCTTTTCTCTTTAATGCTTAGTAATATACAAAAAGTAAAAATGCCGTTTTGCGGGCTTCAGGAGAAATGAATTACGAGGAGGGGCGTGGAGAAATATTTTAGAATACAGTATTATTAATAATAATAATAATAATAATAATAATAATAATAATAATAATAATAATAACAACCAACAACAACAACAATAACAAATAAGTACATTTATCAATCGGTTCGTTGTATTTGCGCCAGGGACAGAAGTAACCGACGGAGGTGTTGCGAAACGTCACTTTCCGGGTCAATGACCCCCCATCTTGATCAAGTTTTTCGTCCAGCTTCGTTTATCTTTTGAGAAAATGCTTCTTTTGCCTCTCGACATAAATGTAGTTTCACTACGCGCACGTCTTTTTAACACTCCTTTTGCTGCTAGTAGGAGTACAACCGAATGTGAGAACAGCCGTACTTGAGAATTGCAATTTTCTTAACAGTATCTGGGTACTATAAAATCAAATCTGTAGTTTGTTTATCGATACAAATAGGTTTTCTTTTACTCGGGTGCAAACTTTCTATTTTTAAATGTTACTAACCTCGCTTTGTCGATACTTTGTTCATCAGTCAACTACGTTCAGTAAAACCTTACTTAAACCTTACTTAAACGGTTATAAGGGATTCCAGGAAAAATTGGTCGTTTAGAGGTGGTCGTTTAATCAAGGTTATGAGAAAACTTACCGGAAGTGTAAATCAATTCTAATTGTACCAATTGCTATGAACTGAAGTATGTTCTCTTTAATACTTTTAATTACCAAGAAATACACGTAAATCCAGGTGTTTAGAATCATATGCCACCTCTCGGCTAATATTAGATCCACAACCTTGGTTTGTCACTAATTCACTTAGTCGAGAAGCTCATTTTTCCTTTCGCTGAATAATAATAATAATAATAATAATAATAATAATAATAATAATAATAATAATAATAATAATAATAAAATGAGTAATTAAAAATTATCAGGATAGTGTGAACGCTTGTTACAAAACGAAAACAAAGTGGAATACAGTGAAAATACGACCACATCATCTCGATACTTCATAGAGAATGATATTTAAAAGATAATGAAAGAGGTGTAAGCAATCCAGATATTTCCAGATATTTTTAAAACAAGCCTCTTGTTAAAAGGGCAACAAAAAAGTGGGAAGGAGACTGGAGCTGAAGAAAACATGCGCAGATTGTACTTCTCCCCCATACGTCACATACAGTTTTAACTGTTCTTTGACAAAATGAATTAAAACAAGCCAGAATTACATGTGCAATTCATGCCCTGTAGTAAGCCGACTGACGAAGGAACCCAGCGAATGACCTTTGCATCGGATTTGCGCGCGCCGCGTACTCCGTGAGTCCTAATCAGATATCAGTGAAAGAAGAATTAGCAAACCATACGAATGCTGTAAAATGGAGGAAACGAACGCGTTTTTGATTTGTTAAGATACTATACTTACATTCAAATCAACTAGTGTTACCGGAAATAAAAAGTAATTCTTCTGCAAGGTAGGTTCTGAATGGCATTATTCGAAATTATATCTAACAATGCATCCCGTTTAAAGGAAGATATTAAATGAACAGTAATCCTCATCACTTTTCCGCATTTTTGTTATATTACTATACAAAATTGCCTGAGGTGATTGCTTATTAAAGTTCATTCTAATGAAAGGTCTCTGGCTGATGGATGCTTATGCAGGTGACCCCCCAGTGGTGGGACCGGGAGAGATGGCCCAGTTCGTCAATTGATGTCACTGCAGTCCCTCTCACCGGGAGGTCCTGGTGACGAGTCCCGACAGTGGCAGGATTTTCGACACTAGCTTAACGGATGCCGGAACAAACAGGCGACGGACCGCGCGAGATCTTTCCTCACCACCACCACCTCCTGAGCAAAAACATACACTACACTTACAGGACTAATGACCCTTGTGGCTAGTTGACGTGCACGGAATCACTACAACAATCGATCTACCAACCCAGTGGTGGATTTAGGCATGGGCCCTGTGGACACTGGTCCCTAGGCGGCAAACTCTTAGGAGCGGCAATTTTTTTTTAGTCCAAAAGTTGCTCGTAATTCCAAAAAATATTATGGAAAGAAATTACAATTGCCCATTTTGATTTAACAAAGGCACTTGCGCTCTGACTGGCAGTCAGCAAATAACAATATGGAATTTTTTAACAAAATTACATAAATTCAATTTTTTTAATACTATAGCTTTCAGCATGTCAAATCGTATATTTTTTGTTACACAAACATGTTAATAAATTACCATAATTGGAGTAAATAATAAACAGTAACTTTTTTTTCACATACATTTTCCTAGATTTTTTTACTTCAATTCGTCATATCTCGGTTAATAAATAATAAATCACTTGATTTATTTTTCTTTGTCCAAAAATATTTGAGCTATTTATAATCACAATTCAACTCAATTGATCAAAAAGTACAACGCTGAATAATTAACAAACAATTGACCCATATTTTTATCTATGCATTCATACTTTTGACTCAACATTGTGCTACGAAGCTTGAGATACAAAAAACTTTCATTGAAAAAATTGAGAGGTATAAAAAACATTTTAAAAAGAGATTTACCCCAAAATAATAAATATTATACAAGTTTTAAAATTTATCGAGACTGCAACAGAGCCCTGCAATCAGTTATTGACTCGCACCTTCCCGACATTTTTAAAGAATTCCTGATTGATTTTTATTATCAGTTTATTGTGGAGTCAGTTTTGTTAATTTAGATTGTGTCTCTCTTCAGATAACTGACATCCAATTAATCAAGATTTAGTTCATTAGAAGCTAAAGTTTAAAGTCGTAACTAAAAACAAAACAAAGACTAGTGAAAACATGACAAATGTAATAGGTGTGTTGTGATATTTTATAAAAAAGAATAACTTAACCTAATAAAACATTTCTTAAATATTTTTGTTGAAAACAATGTGGATGAAAGAAGTTCCCTGTATCATGTACATAATGTTTTATTATTATCCCATTAAATTCATTTTCTTGTATTATTTCTTCAGATTATGTTTGGAACATATAATAAATTGGTGTTTCACTTTCAGAGCTCGAAAATTGATGTGCAACAATGCTTTATACCCTGATCTGTATGGTCACTATCGTGAAGCTAAGTTCACACAAACCAAACACCACTGGTGGTGGAAAGCAAACCGTGTTTTCAACCAGTTGGAAGTGACTCGAAATCATACAGGTAAATTTTGAAAGTTTTTTCTCTCTCTCTTTCTTTTCTTGTGTTTTTTCCCCATGTCATCTGATCAAAAATATGATCCTTTTCTTGTGACAAAATTAAACCATTAATTTTACTCATTTTAAATTTCAAGTCATTTTTTATTAAGATTTTGTTAAAAAAACCCTTAATGCACAGGTTTGGTACTCTTCCTAGAAGAGGATCATTATGTTGCTGAGGATTTCCTTCATGTTCTGCGCCTAATGCAGCAAACTGCTCATACTTCATGTGTACATTGCAACATACTGTCATTAGGTTCATATTTGAAGACCTACAATTATTATGCTGACTCAAAAAAGGTATGTGATGAATAATTCAATTTTTCTTTCATCTCTGGAGTGATGAATTTTTCCCTTGTCTTTGTTTCTGATGTTGGATTTTCTATTTTCGTTTAATTTTATTGTATTTAGTTTTCATTTGATGTTGTAACTAAAAAAAAGTGTTTGTGAGCACATATAGCCAAATCTTTTATTTATTAAATATATTTTTTAATTATACACTGTGATTCCGTGAATAACTACAACTTTCCTTTATCAAGATAAAGACTAATAAAGAATTGATTATTTTGATGATCTATTGCCTTCTATAATATTAATTAAATTGCATGACATATCATCAGATGTAATTTATTTATTAGCTGAACCCTTACAATAACATCACACAAAAGGAAGAGCTGTATAAAAGTTAGAAAATACTGTAGTCACTAAACAGAAAATTGAAAACCCCAAAAATATTGTTTCATGTTGTTTAGAACTTATTTTTAATGAATAATGAAATGAAGGAGATTAATAAATTTTGGAACAATTCAATTGCTTATTCAGTATGAACACAGAGTTAATTGTGACTCTGAAAATGCACTTGAAATATTTTATATTCATCAAGTGATGTACATGATTATTGTAGTGAACAATGGCTAAGAACTTGCTGCCTAACTTAACTTAAAAACATAATGTATCACGTATGTTTCTTCATAAAATCTTTTCAGTGATTATAATTATGTGTGTCAGACAATTGTTGGTCATTACATTTATATAACCTCAATAATATTTGGGATTAAAAATGCTCTTTGAACTTAAAAACTCACTGTTTTCTCTCAGCTAACTAATATCTCACACTTACATGATTGAACATGCAAGAATTCAAAACATCAACTGCTGTCAATAGTTTGAATACAACTTGCACAATGAAATAAATTGCTGCAGAAAAGCATTCATTTGATTAATTTTTAGATATTTTTAGATTTTGGGTTTATACTGTGAAATTGGATAATAAGGGCATGTGATAACACATATAGGCCCCGCCAACCTTTCTTTGAAAGAAAAATCATTAAATTTGATTGAAAAAGAAGCTCAAACATTTTTTTTAATGAAAATCCTTAGCGGCTGATATATAAAGATAAAATGTATAATCCTTAATAATAATGTAATATCCTTTGCCATTTCATTGTTTTTTAGTGTTTAAAGAGACATACTTTGAATCAAAATTGTTTTTTCTGAAGAAATGGTAATTTAAATTCTAGATACTTTATTTCCATTTTGTTTTATATTTTAAGAATGGCTTGAAAATGCAGATCATTGAAGACTTGTCAATCTTTTGACTTATTGATGTCTTTCACCTTTATTTATCCAAAACTCTAAATAATGAACAAGTTTGACATTCATTACATGTATAATTACTGCAGGTAGAATGAGACGCTGTGCTGCACAGAAAAGAATACATGAAGGAATCCTAAAAAAGCAAAAATTACTAGTCACTGTCCCATGAACTAATAGTAGTTTTTAGAGACAGACAATGCCAGGGCCAAACATAAATGTCTAAAAGTTTTCGTCAAGCAGTTTTCAGGTAGGAAAATTAATATCTGGTGCATCATACTTGGTCAGTGAAAGAGATTGTATGATTTGTGCAGTGAATTCAAGTGCAGACAGGGTTCGATTAACACATAGCAGACCAAGCATGTGCCAGGAGTTCCTAATAATTGGATGAATAAATATTACAATATATCATGAATTTAAAAAGGATTTCAATATTAATCTTTAAAGTTGCAAAGGAGTTTTGTTTGTTACATCGATTCTTTCTGATCAATTTTTGAGTATTATGAGGGTGTCCCAAAGTTTGGTCATACTTAGGTCTCCCAAAGACATTAAACTGGCTCTGAGTGCAGATGATCATAGAGAAATTTTTTTCTTAATTTACGCATTAGATATAATTCTTAGATGCAACCACATGTGTGGATATTCATGAAGCTGAAATATAAAAGAAACATTAGAAAGCAAGTTCTAAGTAAATAGAAAATAATAAATAGGATATATCAGTTAAAGTATCTAATGGTCCAGTCAGTCCTACAATTTGCTTTTTTTATTTCAGGACACCACAATGTCAGTCATTAAATTCCTATATTGTCCATGCTTCTTACCTTCGCTTTGAATGCTTTAAAGCACTCAAAAACAGCAGCCCAATTTTTTGCCAATACTTACCACTTTTATTTGTTCACTGAATCACATTGTGTATACAGTAAACCTGCTTTATGTGATTTAATGCTACTCTAATCTTCATTCACTATCAGCTTGTAGTGAAATTTCAATTATCAGTTGTTTTTTTCAATGACTTTAAGAAGCCTGTACATATGCCTGACTCAATGTAGGATAGATCTAAGAAAGGGATGGAGATGGGAATTATGTGTTTTGTATTGTTGTCTTTTGTTATTTTCATGAGATCTTACACTGCACCATGCTTCTACAAATCTTTGAAAGCCATAGCTTATATATTGGGGGACAGTCCATGTGTTGCACATTTGCATTGTACATATATATGCCCCGCTCAAGCATTTGTATATTTCTGGCTGTTGGGGATGTGTATGTATTGAAGATCAGTAATAGCTGTATGTGGAAGAATTGTGTGTAGCTGTTGTTATATGGATTCAGTGTGTGTTTCAGCTTGATTTGTTGACTAAATGGATCTCAGGGAGCTGATTGTCCTTCTTATGATGAGTAGCTCTTAAAAGTAGACAAGGTGCATCTTTTGCATGAGCAGGAGCATCGTTCTGCAAGTAAGGGTCGCTGGTACCGTCCTGATTGTACTTGCACATATGTTGTTGATTACAGAAGGACGGGGGCTCTGCCGTGGCCCAGAAAGCAGTGGGCCGACGTACCAGTGGCAACAACGTCGCCCCCTCATGGGGCTTCCAGGTCCTCCCCACTCTGTACCAGCACTACCAGAAGGTAGCCCACCCCCACCCTTGCTAAGCCTCAGCCATTGCTGCCATTCCCTGCCTAGTCATTTACAATGTTTCTTAACCCGCACGTATCTGCAGGTTTTAATACCTAGTGTAGATATGATAACTCTTGCCTCAGTTTCTTTTTAGCATGGGTATAGCAAACCATATAAAAACATGCTAGATAATAACATATTGGCAGTGGAGTGCTGCTGCAATAAGGCACTTATACTCTATTAATCATTGGTCAGGTATAATTGATGCATCATTCTTCAGGCACTTTGAGAAAATGAAGAGTGCTTTCATTAGATTTTGCTTGTTCCACAGACTGAAGCTTTTAGAGAAGAATTTGTGGGTTTTAGGGCTTTGGTGCAAATGCTTTTGTATCTAGTCATGTATGTAATGCTTATACTTCTATCTTGGAATCAAGCATGTTATGATATGTATTGCCTGTTTTAGGATGTGTATACTGCATGGATGGTTACATTCTCATTTGATAGGATTGAGTGTATTATTTGGAATGAATTCATTTGATGTAGTAGTTCTGTATGGAGCTTAATTTCTTAATGTGTTTCTCTGGTGCTTGATTTAGTGTATGTTTCATTAACGTATGAAGAAGACAGAGGTAATATCTTGTTGTTGACTATTTGTTAAAGTTTGATGATATCAGTTGTTGATTCATAGGCAATTTCTTTTATTTGAATTGGTATTAAATGTTATGCACTTGTAACTGCAGAGAGGACTGTCCCTTAATGCTTCAGCTAAAAGAATGTAGTTCCTTGTGCTGAAGGTCAGTCAACAAACATTAGTCCATTATTGCCTCACCTTACATGTAGCATCACACAAACTTTATTACTCTCACTGAATTTTATTCTGCCTATGCTTTCCTTGACTTTAGTCTGTCTAGCTTTTCACCTTGCAGAAGGCTTTTTAATTAACTTATTGGTCTTTTTACGGTAACAATTTTCGGCCATATTTTCATTACTTTGAACCGTTTATTTAACAAAATATGTATAATTCTCAGGCAGAAGCAACACCATGGATTAGTTCCAAACACAACATGGGGATGGCTTTTAATCGATCAACTTGGGAAGACATTCGCCGATGTGCAGACTTCTTTTGTACATATGATGATTACAATTGGGATTGGAGTCTACAGCATATTTCCCAAGGCTGCTTAGCACATCGTTTACATGCTATTGTAATGAAAGGGCCTAGAGTCTTCCATATCGGTGAATGGTAAGTATTATGTTTCCAGTAGATTTTTTAATGTTTTCTTCTATTGTAAAATTTGTTATTATATATTACTGAGCTGTAGATTTATAGGCCCGATAAGACTGTAGGCATTTAAAAAGGTATTATGTATTTTTCTTATTCCTTTTTATGTACTTGCATAGTTAGTACTAAAGTAAGTAAGTTTCTAAAGCTAGCAAGTACTTTCTTCACCTTTATGGAATATTTTCTTTCATTGCACAGTTTTTTGTTTTTTTTTACAATTCATTTAAGCATTGTATTATTTAATTGCCATACATGACACAATGTAACTAGTGTTAAAACAGCACATACTCTCTCACATTACAAATTTTGAAATATTTTTTATTTACAATTTGCAGAGGTTCAAAGAGTTCAATAGAAATGAGACCTACCCCTTTTTTTAAGTGTCCCTTGTTCTATCCCTAGGGGCAAAAATTGATGAAAAAATGTGTAGCAGTTTTTGAGAAGGCATTGAGCGGCACTATAAAATTCACATATACATCTAAAACCATAAGATGAATAAGTAACCTAAAAGATTGTGTATTCTATTCAAAGAAAAAAATAGGCAAATAAATAAAAATTCACAACTTGCTTATTACATACCATTTGTAACTCTCTGGGGGGGGGGAATTGCTTTCCTTGTGAATGTTGTTGAGTTGCATTTCTACAAAGGTAGATTTTTCACTTTTTAGACAAAGGCAGATTTTCTCAAGCTGTTATTCTGAAGGAGGTACCTCAAAAAAATTTGTTTAAGACACAATGGAAATAACTTTTTTAAATAAAAGCCTACAATAGTAAGAGCAAATACAAATATGTTTGACTTTGGTTTAAGAGAAAATAATATGGCATAGTTGATCCCTTTTAATATAATTTTATGTAATTTTTTAAATTTATTAATTAACAAGAAACAATAAAAAAGTTTTATGTTATGGGAGAGAAGTACAATAAGTATATCAACCTAATTATTGAAATACTTAAGGTCATTTTTCACATTTTAATACTTATTGAATAATAATTAATTTTTTTTCCCCAGTGGTGTGCACCATAAGAAAGCCAACTGTGAAAGCACAGCAGTGATCAGTAAAGTGCAGCATGTACTGAAATATGCATCCAAACATCTGTATCCTCCTCGGCTGACATTGACAGTTACCACAACCACCAAGAAACAAAAGCTGAGGAAGGGAAATGGTGGTTGGGGGGATTTGCGTGACCATCAATTGTGTGTCAATATGACTCGCTCTGTGAGGTAGTTGCTAGCAGGCTAGGCTCTGCATCATGGACCATAAATTGGCATCAGAGTCGCCAGTTGGCCTGTGAAGAGGCTGGCAGTCCTGGAAAGATTTCAGTTCTGGGCTTAATCTTGGAGATTGAGCCAGAGAAACTTTATCTAAATATTCCATGCATTATTGCAGATCTCTTTTTAAAATAGTAATTTTGTTACCAAAGCAAGAAACTGGACTTAACTGTAATATATTAGTTCAATATGACAATTGTGTTGGACTTTTGTAGGTGTATATGTGTATGGTTCATTAAGAAACTATTCATGTTTCATGCAAGATTACATTGTGGCCAGATTTGTACTCACTTGCCTCCCTAGGTAAGAAAAAATTTATTTATTTCATATGAAAAAAGCATTATAACAAATGCATTGACATACATTTTACAAGTTTATTGTTGAATCTAGATCAGGATAAACACGTAATAAGAGGGGAGGCAATTGTTTCCAGAAAGCAAAAGTAAACAAATACTTATTTTACTTCTCAAATTAGCCACCTTTCAGCGAGAATTCTGCCATCTCCAGATTTTGCTACCAAAGCCTTTATTTAATGTCAGTCAGTGAATTCAGCTTTGGGAATGATAAAACATTTGAGAATAATTTGTGTGTGTCTAGCAACTATTGTTAAGAAGTATTGTCTTAAAGTGAAGGCTGACACACTTTTTGGATATAATTTGTCAAATTAGCTTTGACAATATTATATTTTGTGATCTCCTCACTTGTAATTTATGAAGAACCAGCTAACAGAGAGAATGCTAAATGGATTTGTTTCCATGGACACATAAGTGCAGCACACTTATTTTATCATGATTTTACATTGCTTGATGAAGCAGCTCAGTAACAAGTACAATGAAGAAACAACAGAAACAGAAATGAGTGATGTGATAAGGGGTTAATACCTCCTTGCCCAGGAGATACACTGTCCACAGTAACACAAATTTCCATTACATGGTATATTGATGAGTGTGTGTATGCAAGTGTGCCTGTGAAATTTCTCAGTTGACATGAAAAATAGCAGATCTTGATGTTCAAAGAAGTGAATGAAGAAAAGTAATTGACTGAGAAAGACCTTCGTTTAGAGCTTTTGGTCATTTACCAATTTCTCTTCATGACAACCGAAGAGACATTGCAAGAATTCGCATCCTGATTTCTTTACCATATTAACTCATCCCAGTAAATTCATGTTTATTAGATAAACCAAGACAGCTATAATGCAAAATATATTCATACTATTCTTCGCAGAATTGATTATAACATTTTGTAATACCCAGTTGCCTAATATTCAGTACACATTTCCTTCATTCTTAGGTGGTGTTACAATTCTTCCTAGTGCACAATGCAAAGATCAGAGATGGTGTAAATAAAAATGAGTTAATATGGATTGCTTCTATCTGTGTTGTAGTGTTGTGATCAGTGTGATACTGCTTTCTCTGCTTGGTGCAGTCATCAGGCATAAAGACATGAAGTCAATATCTATTTTTATCCTAAGGCAATTATTTTGCCAGTTATTAGCAAATGAACTTTTGTATAATTCAGATGACAGGTAAAATCAGTGTCTTTTGAGTTCTGTGATTTTTGTTTTGTCAATATTTATAGTATTTAATAGAATTAAATTTGTTTATTTCCTTTCCTCATTTACAGATAAAAGTTTGGTCTAGAAAAAAGGAAACTCATGTTTTGAATGAAAAGTAAAACTTTTCAGGAAGTGTTCACAATTTCAGCTTGGCATAGTATTCTGTGAAAGTCAAAAGTGTTTCCAATAATTCTAGCTAGTTATCAGATATTAACTGCTAGCATTTCGTGATATTGTCATTACCTTGATGTTTCTTGTACATTTACAAGAAAGAAAGACAATTTTGTATGTTAATGAGCAAATTAGTAGTGTTCTCTGTCCTGCAGTGTTCTATAAAATTATTTTGTAATATGAAACTTAAGGCACAATTTAATGTTTCCATGAAGATGTGGCATTACAATACCTTTTATTTGAAAAATCGAATGGTGCTATCGGTATTGAATTTATGTTAATTAATTTGTTATAGTTTTCATAAAAAATTGTATTATTTGTTTTCTTAATTTTAGTAATAGGAACTAAAAATATTCTCTGAAGAAAGAAATGGTAAGCAATATATATGGATTGTAAAGTTATTATTGTGTTCAAATTCTGTTTGAAATGATTTGGTCCCAGGCTCTGGACTTACTTTATAAATACAATATACTTTATATACTTGTCTTAGTAGTTGATATTGTTCAAATTTTACTGTATTTGGATTATTAATTTTCATTCACAACTATTAAAATATTCACCCTGCAAGAGATGTGGATAATTTGAAGTACTTTAAAAAAAACGAAATTTTCTGTTGCTTCAATAAAAATTACTGTAATGTAGAACCTGTGACTAAAGAAAATATTATTTGCAGTGACTGGGACCTATTTTGTATTAAATTTGCTAGTATATCAGTATAAATGTGAATAAATTGCCCAATGATCTGACAGTTCTTCAAACAAGAATGGAACCATAAGCTTTCTTGTATTGAAAAAAAAACAGCAACATAAATTACAAGAGGTATTTGGGTATGTTGCTTCTGAGTTCCCTGGGACGTTGCAAGACTACCCAGAGCTTTCAGTGTCACTTATTTGGGTGATGTCATACATAATGTATGGTGTTACAATGGTTTGGTGCTACAATAATACTACACAACAAGTTGTTGACAATAGGTTTTGAGGCTCTTTGTTACTAATGAGTAGTTTATTTTTGTCATTAAATGAATTTCATTTTGAGCCTATGCACATATTTAACAGTTTTCATTATTTCTCTCTTATTGCTGTTGGTAATGTTATGTTTACTTATTCTAGTCACATAAAGCATAAGACGGAATACTAGTAGTAAGCATTTATAGATTTTTTTATTCTCTTCAAACTAATCTTCATGATGTAATGTGTGTCGAATGTGTCCGAATAGTTTAGCAAATTCAATCAAATATTTAAAATAACTTACTAAGATATGTCATAAATGGTTTTGTTACAATAATATACTAAAGAAATAAATTTCACTTACTACGGCAGATATTGATTTCTAAAAAGAATAGGATATTTATTATGTTGTGCCGCAAATCTGTTAATATCATCACAAAATGTATAATTCTTTTCCATTTTTCTCTAAAAATAAGTAAAATTCTGTACATTGCATTTGTTCAATTCTCCTTTTCTCTATTGTTAGTACAAAGTTGATAAGTCTAAAGTGAATTTTCCTTTACCAAGTATCTTAAAATTTGGATAAAATTAAAAATTCAATTAATGCTTTATAACAGTCATAAACCTAATCAAATTTTCATTAATTATATGCAGGTCAATTATGTTCATAAAGCAACAACTTGAATTCTGGTTTCTGAGAACAACATTCATGGTAAACTACAAAAGTACACACAAAAAATAACTTCATTTATTAAAAAGTCATATTTCCTAAACAGCATTAATTAGATATAAGCCTTGTTAAGAAAATAAAAAAGTGCAGTGAAATATTTGAGACTACACCTCTGCGTAATTACCATAACATCTTGTACCAATTGAACCTTTCTTAATTTTCTGACAGAAAATTGTAAGTGAAAAACTGTCTAAGTATCCATTTCTAATTTCCAGCACATACATAGTGGTCAAATCAAAAGACACATGACACACAGTATCAAAAAGAGAGAATAAAAGTGTTTTGTTCTTGAATTTGTTTTGTTTTTACTTCGAAATAATATGAGTTAAATATCAACATTGCCCAACATACCCCTACATCCACAGTCAATTTTAATATCTGTTTTTGAAGAAAGAATTGGCCTATTTAGTTGTTAAAAATTCTAATGAACATAAAAAACACTAACAAAACTTTTTTGTTAATAATTCTTAATATTTGTTTGTATATTTCAGACCCACTATGATGTGTTGCTATAAATTTTAAACAATGTTATTGAAAGCGAATACAAAGAAAACATTTAATTTGTAAAGATATTATGGTTTATGCATGGAAAGCAACACTGTTTACACATTCATGTTTATATACTGATGGAAAATCTTTAAAGAGAACAAAAAGTGAATACTCTCATGAATAAAAATAATTTTCTGTAATTTGCAAGCTGGAGTTACTGAAAGAAAACAAAAACAAAAAGTGAACTTTTGGATGGAGTGATTAAAATAACTGTTCCTTTGATAATCACTGCATGAAGCTCACATGTCTGCTGCCTTGATTCTTCACCTGGGTGAGAGACCCACTGTGCTGAACACTTCACGCTAATTGTTCAGCCATGTCGATTAAATAATGTCAATTCAAAATTTGGAGGTTCTACAGAATGGTACGGACTTTCTGGCACCAATCTCATTTTCTAATCTCTGAAGTCGGGTTGGCGTTTCAGTATTGGGCCACTATCTTCCTGGATGCGATCTATTGCTACCTAGACACCACTTTTTCACATTTCCTTAATTTATTTGTCCCCTAACAGTTGAATTGAAATATGACTGTAAGAATATTATACAAGAGTGAAACCTGATCCTGAGGAAATTTTCACTGAAAAATTTGGATCCATTTTTACGAAAAAGTGGTTTGAACATTTTTGGAAATGTGCAACTGTGGGTTCGTTTTCAATAAACCCTTTTGAGTTTCCAAAAAATGTTATTACAAACCATTTGAAGTACTTATACTCACAAACAAAAAAATATATAAAAAACGTCCATAATGTAAATACTAACTTGAGATTATTTTTTTTTATATATCTTGAAAAAATTAAAATAATAAATCAAAATGGGGTTAATAAAATTTTATTTGGTGTATTTTGCTCTTCCTGTACAGAAAGTTAAACAAAAATTTGAAGAAGTATTTGAGAAAATGTTATTAAGGGCACTTCTGACAAAGCAGGACTTCGAGCTCATTTCCTCACAAAATTTTTTGGTTTTTAAGAAATTTTATGAGACAGTGAACCACTTCTATTCACAAATGCAATAATGAATACAAATCGCCGGTAATGTAAATACTAACATCATGAGGTATAAAAACATTTGTGTAATTAATATATCAACAACAAAAGAAAACAGCAAAATGACATTTATGTCATCTTATACAGTGCATTTAGCAGTATGGTTAAAAGGTTAAAACAAAATTTGGAGCTATTAAAAAAGAATCTTGTTTTTACTGTTGCTCCTATTTCACTCAAAATTGTGTAATAGCTATTAACATACCTAGAAATGTTATGAGTGTTATAACTGCTGATGCCAAAAGTTGAAAATCAAGGCAGAGACGAGATTTTTAATTTGGACGAGGATTTTCCATTTTTACAAACTAGGATAACCTCTTTATTTTCCTTCCTTCTAGGCACATATTTATAAAATCCTGTTCAGTTATTTGCCTTCCCAGCTAGAATACTCTATAAATATGCTTCCTGAGCCAATTTCTTTTCTCGCTCCAATTCTTTTGAACGACTTCCAAAAAAAGGGTGTGTTCAGTAATATTGAGTTTTAAACATGAGAATAAATTTATGAATTTTAATGATTACTAGTTAATATTGTGGCATACAAAAAGAATCTATCAAAACACATAAATTAGGGGTCATCCATAAATTATGTAACACTAAAGAGGGGGCTTAAGTTTGAGGCAATGTTACATAGGGGCAGGGGGTATTTGATTAGCTACATAACATTGATATTATTTTTACATTTTTTATATACTTTTTTTAGTCTTATACTAAAACATTAAAATATTATCTAATTAATTTGCTTTAAAACAAAATTACCTTCAAGTTGTTACACTAAATGGAAATATTTGTTCACCAATTTTGTATTGTATCTGTAAGATTATAAAGAAAATATTAAAAACTGTTCTGTAGTATTTTAAAGAATATTAAATTGGCACAGTAGATTCTCACCCATGCACCATGCAAAACCGCAGCGTGTGCATGCCCTTCCTTCACTCAAAATTTGCCCTCTATCTTATTCATATATGAAGTCAGCATCGTCAACCAATTCAGTCTTTAATTATCATTAATTTTAATACATAACACAAAAAACTAATACAATCTTTTACTGAACTATAATATATTTGTTTTTGTGGCAGAAGAGAACATGTAATGGGAATTAAGTCAATATATATTTTGAAGCTTTTCACCTGTAACTTCAACTTTAGAACATGGGAGTAATCCATTTTTCTACCAACTATGAAAATTATGTTGAAAAAATTGTCAAAATAACTAATAATACAATGTTCAAAAGGCATCACTTCTTGTGTTTCAGGCAGTTATACCAAAGATCAATTAAGGTTGATGTAATCTCTTTTAGTTAAAGGGTTGTTATTTTTACTTCTGTAAACATAAAGAATGAAGATCTCGATTTTTGTCATTAGCTCTCATAAAACAGACAAGAACTTCTAGAAACAAGGGAGTTCAAAATCAGCTTTGAAGACATTAATTACTCAAAATAAATTTTGAAGACGTATGCATATTTGCATTTTGCCTTGAGAAATATTGTTAAATTTCATTAAATAATTGAAGTATTTGGGCATGCTATCCACTTTCATTACACCCTCATGTTCTGCAGGTTAATGGGCATGTTGTTTGTTTTACATTAGATTACATGACAAAAACTTAAAGTATGGTATTCCTTATCTAACCATTTCAATCAACCATAAGTCAAACACAGCCAACCTGATTACTGTGAATATAATGAAATAATCATCAATACAAACAAGATTATTTTATGTGACTTACATTGCAAAGCCTACATTCAAATTGAAAAGAAAGTAAACCAACCCTCAATAGGACAGTGGCATGCAAATGTGAGAATACTCTTAATCTTCTAGTCTCAAAAACCCCGAACAATCAAACATATTTATCAACAAAAATTAATGTATTATTTAATCATTTTCTACAACATACAATTTCATTACTTATTTAGAACATCATTAATTAAATTCTTAAGAGAAATCTTAGTCAGCCACTAAGCTGCTTGTACAATTTTGGTACATATTCATCCCATTGAGCCTGAAAAAAGTTGCCTGCAACAATATCAGTAAGTTTGTATTTTTTGGCAAACTTACGAATGGAAAATTTTCCTCGATTCTTACCAGTAGTTTTAGATATATGAGGTTCAGATGCACGTATCTTATTAGGTTGCTTATACAGTAAAATAACATACCGATGTAACCCAGAATCTTTCGGTGGTCCAGCACCAACATATTCCGTCAAAGTATCACCTTTTGCTATCTCATTCCCTGGAATATTGACTACTAACCAATGATGCCATTCACGATTTCGTGGATCTTTTCGACTTGGTGCATCCGGATCTGTCATACATAATGTGTACAGACTTGATTGTTCTGCTTTCCAAACAACGACAGGTATGTCTTTAACTTGGGTGGGTGTCAGTTCATTTCCTAGTTCTGCTTTTGCTCCACTTTTGAAAGTGACCTGTTAGCATATTAGATTTATAATTTTTGAATTTTCTTCACATACAAAAAAAAAAGTTTTTTCCAACTCACCTCTGCCACTTCAGCAGGAGCTTTATCAATAACATCAGGTACCACTTGATGCTTATCCATTAACTTTTAATACAATAGCAAATTTACCAAATCTGCACTGAATTTCCTTTATTAATTTGCGACAATTACCAAAGCCTTCCTCATGTTTACAATCCTTGTTAAGTTTGCAACTGTCTTCGATTCAGCAATTTCCTACAAATACCTTTTATGTAGAGTATCCACTTAAAATGTAGCTCTTAAAATATTCATCTCCTGTTTTAAACTTTTCATAGATTTGGTTTATAATTATCTAGAATTATATCACAGCTGGTTTTGCAATGTATGGTTGGTAAATATTAATAACTCAGTTCTTAACATTTTCTGGGTCCAGTTGTAAGTGTGATCTCTCTCTACAAGTGTCTTATATAACCAATTACACCATGGACATTTTAAAAGGAAATATGGCAAAGCAAAGCAAAAAAAAGTTTCAATAAAACTACAGAACACTCAGTACAATACTTAATTTTATTTTTTTTATTTTTGCCAATGCTACATTTCAAGATTTTAAAAATATAAGGAATAGTTTGATTATACTTCCATTTAAATCATCAGTAACAGAGGGAAAAACAAATTGTTAATTCCAAGGCAGAAAAACAATACATGAAATTACTTTCCACTCAACTGCTCGTACAGTTTTGGAACATAATCATCCCATTTGGCTTGATACAAATTACCAGCAACTGGATCACCTAGACCATATTTAGCTGCAAATTTGCGAATAGAAAATTTTCCACGATTATCTCCCGAACGGTTAGTTAGGCGTGGTTCATCAGCAGTAATCTTTCCTTTCTGCTTGTACACAAGAAAAACATAGCGATGCAAGCCTGTTCCATTAGGAGGACCAGAACCAACATATTCTGATAAAGTTTCACCCTGAGCAATATTGTTTCCTGGAATATTCACCACCAACCAGTGATGCCACTCTCTGAATTTAGGTTCATTTCGGCTAGGAGCATCAGGATCTGTCATGCAAAGTGTGTACAATGCATCATCTTGAGCAGTCCAAGTGACAGTAGGAATATCCTTAACTTGGGTTGGAGTCAATTCATTGCCTTTATCAACATTCACTCCAGATGGATACGATACCTACACAATACATATTTTAAGAACGACAATCGCATTTTAAGAGACTATTCTAAACATATTAGGCACAAAATATTTTTTTGGTAAAAATGTGCATAAAATACCTTCGCTACTTCCTCTGGGGCTTTATCAATAACGTCGGGAACAACTCCGTGAGTGTCCATATTCAATCGCAACGAAGACAACAGTCGATAAAATCCTAGACGAATGGGTGTTCCTGAAAACAAATTGCGAAAAAAAATATAGAAAAAGAAGTTGCACTTCTATTTTTAATACTCGGAAACACTCTGGTTTCATGTCACAAGCCGTTTTCTTAGAATACACTATCAGCATTCATTTCTCAATACGTTTTCGCAGAAAATCTTGATTGGTTATAAATGCATACAAGGCAGAAATAGAAAAAGGAATTAGACTTACGAAGAATCGTACTAACGCTTGACATTACAGTAGATTTAAACAAAACTATTTTACAGTATGTGCCTACCAGTTCAAGTCTCACAAATACAGCGCACGGCAATAACGCACCGTAAATTTCTTTTGTATACAACTAGAATGATCTATGGACCTTACGTAACACTTCACTTCATAGACAGCAGCAACCCAGCTATTTACGCAAAACAACGAACGCCTTCCCGTTCCCTCGAACCGCGCTGAAATCTGTTCTGCCGGCCGGTGTTTGACACCAGGGTGCGTTCAGGAGCTGCTCTGCGGATTTCTGTACGACGCGAGTTACTGCAGCGCTCGTAAAACGTAACCACACGCGTGACATCTGTGGTTCTAAGCGTTTTCGAATGCGCCTGGAGTGCGGGGTATATATCGACTTACTTCTGTTTTTAGCGCATTGTGGTAATGATTGTCGCTATGAATGAGAAGTATTTTGAATTATTTGTTCTTGTTACTTAATAGGTTGAAAACTAACGTTTTGCTGTGAACGCATTTGACAATCTGTAAAATAATGGCTACACCAATGATCATGGAACCAACTCCACTAATCAGCCGGGATGGTGAGACTGCATTGAATTTGCATGTTTTGCTTTGTATATTCATTTTATTTGTCTCAACTTTTGAAAAATATGCAATATTAAATTACCTTACTACTCTTCCAAAATTGAGATACATGTCTGTTTTGTTTTTAATCGTAATTGCAAAGTGTGATGCATTTCCTATATATTTTTATTATTGATCCACAGAAAATGCAGTAACTGATGGGATGGGAGAAAGTCCAACAAATGGAGTGAGTCGTTATGTTTTTTATTAAATTGAATCCACAACTGTGTTAATTTATTTGATATAATATCTGTGGGATACTTTACAGACTGCGGGTGAGTCACCTGTCAATAATACAGAGCGTCAGAAGAGATCTATGCCTGTGGATATATTTGAGTGTAAGCTGTTAGTAATTTTCACACGTGATGTTCTTACTGTTCTACTGAATTTTAAGCACTTATTGTTTTTTTAGTGATGTCGGGGAGCCCTAGTAAAAAGAAACGTAAGAAAGTACCTGTTCAGTCTCAACCTAAAAATGCTGTTTGTGCCCTCAATGAGTTGAGACCTGGTTTAGTATATACCACTGTAGATCAAAGTGGCCCTGTTCATGCTCCAACATTCACTGTTTCTGTGGAGGTAAGTGAGATGCGTTGAGTGGTGATGCCTTGACATGAATTTAAACAAGTGTTACTGATTTTTTGTTTTGTTTATAATAATGATTTATGATAATGATATGCTAATTTATGATAATTATTGTTAATAATTTAATGTTTTTTTGAATAGGTCAATGGTCAACAGTTTGAGGGACAAGGAAGGTCTAAGAAGCTTGCAAAACATGCTGCAGCTGAAGCAGCCCTCCGTTCATTTGTACAGTTTAAGAATGCTCCTGAGGCACAGCAAGCAATGAACATGCATATTGCAGATTTAGACTTCACAAGTGACATAACGGAAAGTGAAGGTGACCTGTTCAATGCCTTCCAGCCGGGCCACACTCCAGGTCCGGATGCATCTTCTGCGCCAGAAGGACAAGAGGGAGTTGGGTCTGGTTCACCATCTGCTTTGCAGGTACTAACATTACTATCCATACTTTTCCAAAGGCCTTTCCAGTTTTCTATTGAAAACAGTATAAAGTTTTAATGTCTTATTAAAACTATTTTTCAAATTTTTAATTGTATAATATATATAATTTTATAACTACCACCAACAAATTTTGATTAATACCCTTGATGTTCAGTTGTTTTATTTATTTATTTTGTAACTTTTCCTCACATGGAAAAAATAAGGCTTCTTGATTTAGATTTCTTTAGAAATAGTAGATCAGCTTGTATGTCATTAAGCTACACTGAAAACTTCATACCTAAACAAAAGATAAAGTTCATTATGTAAAACTAATGGTAATATAATTAGATTAATACAGTTGTGGAGTATTTTATTTCATTTAAAAATAACTAAAAGGTAATATGGAAAGCATATTTTTAGCTAAAACGTTATGTTGGAATTGTTATTTCTTTGAAATTTAGAAGTTTTATAAGATGCAGGATACCTACGTAATTATCTGAAGTAGTGAACTTGAAGATTATTTTCATTGGAAGTATAAGTAAGTTGGGGGGTGGGAGACTCTGAGATGATGATCAGTGTGATCAAAATTTTAATGAATGCTTCTAAAATTGTATATTTTGCAACCAATACCCTTGAGAGAATTTCATTTGCAGAATACAAGCATTTTGACAAAAATGATAAATATTAAGAGCAGGCAGTGTTTCAGACAACAGTAATAACAATAATAATAATAATAATAATGTAATAAAAATATTATTTTATTGCTTATCATTCCTGCACTCTTACAGGAGGTATCAAGCAAAGTCTGACTAAAAATTATTTAAAATGACTAAGTTAGTTACGTTATTTAACAACATTCACTTACAATAATAATTTAATAAGTGAACATCTTGTTAAATATATAAAATTGATTAATATAAACAATTAAATTAATTCAAGTTATAACAAGAATTAAATTAAATTACATAACATACAGTAATAATTAAACAGTTTACTTGATAAATTACTAGATCAATAAAGATGCAAGTGGTCATAATAAAGATTAAAATAATTTACATTTTTGAACTACATAGTCTCATTAACAAATTAAAAATAACATTAACATTACTTTAAAAATACATTACATTAGCAGATTATGGTACAATAGCAAGTACTAACTGATAATTTAAAGTGAGTAATCCTACAGTGGTTGATTAATTTACTTCAATAACCTGAATACCTTAGACGTTAATAATAGTTGTAAGTTCTTACAATATCTTGACATAAAATTACATTTTTTACTATATTACTAATTAGTACATTATGTTTTTGAACTTGTTATAGTGGCTATTGAAATAATACACTTATCACAACTCAAGTCTGTTTTATTCCACATGTTATCTTACACTGACTTCACTCCTTGCCTCCCACCCACAAGTCCCTCTTCTCTCCAGTACATACCAACATAACATCTCCCCCTTTTCTTATAAAATTTTCATAAAAATATTTTTACTTATTTTTTTACAAAATAAAGTTAATAATTGCTTTAACAACATTATAAACAAATGTAAACAATTAAATTCAATTAAAAAAGAATACAATATCATGATCAAAGGACAACAATAAACAAGAAACTATTTGTAAAGGACAAAATCATCAAATCTTGAAGGCATCTTCACTTTTCTCCTGGGTTTTGCATCCAGTGTTTAGACTCAAATCAATTGGTATTGTGTTTTCCAATGGTTCTTGGTTCTTTAAAGTTTTGCGGTTTACAGATTTGTTCACAAATACTTTCATACCCAATGGTGGTGAAAGATCATTGGGGATGACATCTTTCACTCGAGCTTGGTTTGTTTGCTTTGGGAATGGTTTCACATTTATGATTTTGTGTCTGTATTTGTTTTCTTCTACCTCAAGAATGTAATCCCTTTTTTTTCTGTCTATCCTGAACCACCCCTAGTGTCCATGACAAGTCTTTATCAGGTGCACTTGCACTGTTACTGTCTGACCAATTTCCAACTCTGGTGATTTTTTTGTTTTATTGTCTTAACAATATTTGCTATTCTTTTTGGCCATTTCAATTTTCCTCTGCATGACTTCCACAACCTCAGGCTTGAGATGATTTGTTGTCATAGGAAAACATCTCCTGGTTCTTGCAAAAATCCTCCATGAAGAACTAGAGCCTATTTTATTTGGCGTATTTCTTCAATGCAGCAAAATATACCTAAGGTTTTCTCCACTCTCCTCAGCCTTTTTTAATTAATCTCTTGGCAATCTGTAACTCTCTCTCTCGCTTGCTCTCTGTCTGTCTCTCTCGCTTGCTCTCTGTCTGTCTCTCTCTCTCGCTTCTCTCTGTCGTCTCTCTTCTCGTCTTCTCGCATGCTCGCTCTCCTCTCGCTTGCTCTCTGTTCTGTCTCTCTCTCGCTTGCCCTGTCTGTTCTGTCTCTCTCTCGCTTGCTCTTCTGTCGTCTCCTCTCTCGCTTTGCTCTGCTCTGTCTGTCTCTCTCTCTCGCTTGCTCTGTCTGTCTGTCTCTTCTCTCTCGCTTGCTCTGTCTGGTCTGTCTCTCTCTCTCGCTCTGTGCTCTGTCTGTCTGCTCTCTCTCTCTCTCGCTTGCTCTGTCTGTCTGTCTCTCTCTCTCTCGCTTGAGCTCTGTCTGTCTGTCTCTCTCTCTCTCGCTTGCTCTGTCTGTCTGTCTCTCTCTCTCTCGCTTGCTCCTCTGTCTGTCTCTCTCTCTCTCGCTTGCTCTCTGTCTGTCTCTCTCTCTCTCGCTTGCTCTCTCTGTCTGTCTCTCTCTCTGCTCTCGCTTTGCTCTGTTGTCTGTCTCTCTCTCTCTCTCTCTCTCGCTTGCTCTGTGTCTGTCTCTCTCTCTCTCCTCGCTTGCTCTGTGTCTGTCTCTCTCTCTCTCTCTCTCTCGCTTGCTCTTGTCTGTCTCTCTCTCTCTCTCTCTCTCGCTTGCTCTCTGTCAGTCTTCTCTCTCTCTCTCTCTCTCTTCTCTCTTCTCTCTCTCCTCTTCTCTCTCTCTTCTCGCTCTGACTCTCTGTCATGTCTCTCCTCTCTCTCTCGCTTCGCTCTCTGTCAGTCTCTCTCTCTCTCTCTCGCTTGCTCTCTGTCTGTCTGTCTGTCTCTCTCTCTCTCTCGCTCGCGGTCTGTCTGTGACTGACTGTTGGGTCTGTGAACACTACTAGTGCCTAAACTGTACTTAAATTTTTTTCCAAATTGAAGAAACCTATGTCGATCTGACTCATTCGAATCTTGGAGATTTTGAAAAAAAAATCTTTAATTTTTTGAGCACCTTCACATGAAGCTCCAAGGACGTCTTAAAAGTTCTCTCAAAAACAGTTGTCATTCAAATGAGCATTGTCATTAAAATGCAAGAAACGTATTTTTTTCCTTCCTTATTTTGCATCATTACATGCATTAATAAATCATTACCAGGAACATCTTTCCTTAAGTAATGTAGGTTACTTGTAATGTCGTGTATGTCTTGTATTAAGTCATGAATGTTATTCTGTTGGAAGTTTAAATTTTACTGTTAGAGATTTGTTTCTTCTTCAAATTTTGAAAGAAAAACAAAGAAAAAAAATAATCATAAAAAATTATAATGTGTAATGGTCTGCATTTTGTGAAAGATTTCCCCATTTTGTGGTATTTTCCTTGAAAGCAAATGATTGTATATTGAAAGTACTAGTGTCCATTGTCCACCTAAAATTTGACTATTTGATTTTTCTTGAATTTGCACTGCAGCAAAATATTAATATCTGTTATGGTGTACTCAGTAAATTAGTAATTGTTCTGTTTCCGCGCAATTTACATTGTTGTTATTGATGATGCGATATAACGTGTGAAATTGACCATTCGTATTTTCACTGTCATCAGTGTCACTTTAACACAATAATGTACCCAGGGATCAGCATTGGAATAGTTTCCTTCAAGCCCATCTTCACTATCAGTGGGTGAAATCAGAGCCACTGTTTTATCAAGTGTCACTCTTCTCTTTCACCTGTCCTCAATAATTGTACATTAATCCATTTCAGATATGTTTGTAATTGTCTTTCTGTGAAAACTGCATTGCAGTCTGCAACTCTTCAAAAATTGCAGAAGGTGCTAAATTCATGTGACACACTCTGTAAATATTGATTTCCGTTTTATTTTCTTGATTTATATTTATCTGCCTGTTGCTGCTACCATAATTAAGTAAATAATTACTAGGGGAGGATATATATTGTTAATGACTTGGAGAATGCTCATTTTCAGAATGGAGGCAGCGGTGTGGCTTCTAGTGGAGCTGCAGCAGCTGCCGCTGCTGCGCGTGCAGCACGAGGAGGTCCTCTACGAAACATGCACCCTGTTTTCCCTCCAGACAAAAGTCCTGTTATGTTGTTAAATGAGCTGCGACCTGGGGTGAAATATGAATGTGTTGGTGAGAACGGTGAGCCTTATGCTAAGTTTACAATGACTGTTGTGGTGGACGGTGAAACCTTTGAAGGAACTGGTAAGTACTTATTTTATTTATTCTCAGTGTATTTGTTTACAGCTGTTTATTTGATGTATATTCTCCATCCAAATTTTAATTAAATTACCTAAAAATATTTCTTGCGTATTCACCTGCAGGACAAATAACAATTTGAAATTTCTTTATTTTTAAGTAATTGTATTGAACAACTTTCCACTCAGGAATTTTTTGTTTTAAATTTATTTTTGTTGAAAAATAGTGTGGCTACAATTGCCTAGATGAAAAATTCAGTTCTGTACTAATCTTTTTTTAGAACATCATAAAGAATTTATTATTTAGAATCATTAAAGAATGTCAATAAATTGACTTCAAGTTAGTTTTGGTTGGAAGGATGATTAATATAATTTGTTATACTTACTAAAACTATGTGTTTTTAATAGTTTATAAAAAATGTAATGAAACAAAGTAGAAGTACCTTCTTGGACTGAAACATAAAATTTGAAAATTGTATCTCATGACTTTTGTTGAATTCATTAAAAGAAGAAACGGCAGTAGAGCAACTTGTATTTGGTGAATACTTTCTGTCATGTTTTTGTTTCTGAACTTCCATATCAATTGTGTAAACATTTCAAATAAAGTGTAGGCCAAATTCGATTCTTCTTTTGTGCAACTGTTAGAACTCGGACCGGCATAATGTATCCAATTGTTAAATTCCTTTTATATGAGATATTTACATTGAACAGTTACTATACTTGTAATTTTGCTGTTCATATATAGTGTTGATATGATTCACTTGTTACAAACCTTTATGTAATATGTTTTATGATAAAATCACTTAATTTGCCGAATTCCAATTTATCTCAAAGAAATACAACCTATTTCACCAGGTTATTAATAGTTACATACCAATGCAAGTGTGGGTCAACAACATATTCCAACGTAGTTGTTTCCTCCATTTTTGTTTAGGTGGGGAGTTACTTCAATTAAGACAGTCATTATTATAACCTTTCCTCACTCTTTAAATGCTTACCAAATGGTTACCCAGCAATTTGAAACAATTGCCAGGTGTAATCACTTTGTGAAAACTTTGGCATACTCTTAGTCGATCTGCTCATAAACATTGCAATCTTATTTTGATACCTATCGATGTAGGGAATGGTTGTGCATGCAGAGGAACTTGTTGAATTAGTTTTATTAAAAAATAATAATTGTGGTCATGATGATAATGTGGCCATTTGAGCCCCCCTGGAAAAGACCTCAAGTATAGAAAACATTCAATATACGTTATTTGCCGTACATGAGAAAATGAAAAATATTTTACACAAATTTGTGGGCAATTATTATAATATATTGCCAAATGCTTATGGCATTAGTTCTTGAATACATACTAAAATTTTCCTTAAATTATATTGTTTGATGTTTTATGTTGACACGCGTCTAAATGGTATATGAATCAGAACAGCATTAATTCGAGTCATTAAAATTAATGATATCATAGACGATCTTAACTCTGTGATAGTATAAATGCTGCTTGATGTGAAAATAAAATAAAGTTTGGAGAGGAATGTATGTAACATTATTATGATTCTTCTGGTTTGGAAATGATTCTTCGGAGTTTCATTGCCACAAATATTGAAGAAGGTTAATGGTTTACAACTGTCCACTAAATTATTCAAGAACTTTCATTGTGTCATAACAGCTTGTTTTTTTTCAGTGGAGATAATGATTTTCTGTCTTCAGGGGTATCAGGAACTTCATCATTTACTTTGTACTGTTTCATCATATCACTGGCATTGCCATTGTCTTCACCATCATTCATATTGCAAATTATGTTTGGCAATCTTGGAACATCATAGTTCAGATTAAGCTCCTTTGTTCAATGTCAACCCATTGAAGTCTAGTCATCCTTTTTAAACTGACCTCACAATAGATTTGGGTCATCAGTTATAATATTTGTTACAAATTGGAGAAGAATAGCAGAAGAAAGTAATTCTTTTAAAGCTAAATATATCAATATAAATTCAATAATTAAATACATAATTTAGCCGTAAGAAAATTGAAGCTAATAATGTGACTCAGTGGTAGTGACAGTGGTGGCTGTTGCTACAGCCCGTTGTTGCCAACGTGGTGGTGTTAACAATGGTATATTCATTTGGTGTATACGTATGGAGAATATTTTATCATTTCTTACCAAAAACTCTCATTTTCATCTGTATTCTGAGTTCAACTTGTATATGGGTTGGGGTACCAATCCCAGAATTTGAGAAAATGTGTACAGAAACCCTTTTCTCCATAATACATCACACACAGTTTAAACTACTAATCAGTTGGAAAAAAATTCAAAAAGGCATTATGCATGAATGTCAAAAACACAAACGTGAGTGGAAAAAGCATGCATTTTTAAAATGAAATTTCCAAGAAAGATAGTTTTACAAAGTTCAGAAGCCCTGCAAAGCGTAAATAAAAACTTTTGCTAGGAAACACATCAACACAAATTCAACATTTAAAATTGCTTTTTGTACAGTTACAACATGCCCCAACAATGAGACAATTTCCAGAATATCCAACTGTCATTTCGCCATGGTCACATTCCAATCTGATACTTCCTGACGGCTAGCAAATGGAAAGTGGGAAATTCAAAATAACAAATTAAAACATTTGCAGAATTAGGGCAAACTATTCCTATTTTTTGTAGATTATCTGCACGACTCTTGTACGTGACGTGTGCTCAAATAGAAATAATTTGTTTAATTCTCCATTTGTTCATGCAAACTATTATTGATTTACACCGATGTGGAAAATGTGCTGTTCAGCAAATTATAACGATCTTGAAATGTTCTCGTCTCTTCATACTTTCCAAATTAGATTTAACAAAAAAGAGATTTATTGTTAAATAATATTTAATGATCATGTGTCATTACCTACTAATGGTTTATTGTTATATTCTACATTCATGCATAACGTTAATTGTATATCCTTCATAAAAGGGCAATTGCCTGTTACTAAATAAATAAATAAAAAACATACATGACATTTGAAGAACAGATATTTTAGAACCATTTCATTTAACAAAATTATATATTTCACCAAAATTTAATATTTACATTGTGTGTGTGTGTTTTGAAATTAGAGAGAGTGTTCACTGCAAATGGGACCAGCCGCAATTTCAATGCCATACATTTGGAGAGAAACATTAATGCAACAAATTTTGAGCTAACTTTAACAATTTTCATAAAAATCAGGGATTTGAATGAAAATTAAGCCTGTGCTATTTCTGTCTCTTTGTATCCAAGGGCAAAGTTTAATAAACAAAATTGGTGCCATTGTTGAGAAAATTTTGAAAATCTTGAGGCTCATGTAAAGCAACCCCTCAAAAATGAAAATCGGTTTCAAACTTGCAGGACCTCAGATTCTTTCAGATGGATCAGAGAATACCAATGTTGCACAAAATTGGCTGAACAGTTTAGACACTAGCGTACAACACATATTTTGCCATCAAAAGCTTTTTCAGTATCAAGGACCCACAAACTAAGAATTCTGAGTACACGTGTTAAAGGAAGTAATTTACTATATAATGGAACACGATTCGTCTACTTTTGGTTACCAGAGCTTGGCAATAAGAGTTTTTTCTGTTGAAAATTCATAGTTTTCCAATGCACCCTTACAGTACTTTCTCTTCTTATAAAGGAAGGGCAAGAAAGTAAAAATGGGATTGTTATTTTGTCGATAGTTAACTGACAATATTGACAGTGAGCAGAAAAAAAATTCCATCTAGTAATGCCATCTGCTTTTGTCAGATACATGTGCCCATCTGAGAGTTTAATAACTGTTACAGAAAAGCATCCCCATGAATAATTCTTTACCATAATTTTTATCAATTAAAATATAGTGTCTAATAATTAATATTTGATAAAACTGAGTATTGCAAATACTGCAAGTTTTCTGTCTTCTCAATTCATCGGAAAAGAAAGAAATTAAAGCACACTTTATAATGTGTCAGTTACTTTTAGACGCATAACTAAGAATTATTTGGTTCCTATTTTTACAATTAGTTTTTATAGTTAACAATTTTAATTGGGTTTTATATATTCAAAAACAAGAGTGTTTTTTCTTATTTTATTTAATCCGAGAGACCACATTGAAACGTCATACGTGTACATGAAATTACATGTTTAAGTAATTTAATTAGTCAATGTAAATTGAATTCCACCTGGCCATAAGTTTGTTTACTTTCACATTTAATTCAGTATCATTTATCATTTCATATTATTATTATATAATATTACTATATACACTTTTATTATTATTTTGTATTGCGTAGTATCATTTCACATCATTATGTAATCCACAATCTATATCACAACAATTACGTTGGATGACACATCACTATAAAGTATGAAATAGTAAATTTGCAAATAACATATGTTAATACTAGATTACCATAATGAGAGTCAGTATGTCATTAACAGAGAGGAGAATCATGAAATCGACAAAATTTCTCATAGTGTTGTAATTTCTCGTTAAGACATTATTAAGACGGTTGTTTTCCTGTCGTAGATTCAGTTTGTCTGTATTGCTTTGAATGAAGATAATTTCTGAAGCAAGTCCTTTGTAATAATTACTTGCTTAGTCCAAAATCGTTACTTTGCCCCATCCAATTTCTTCACAGTAGTATGTATTTTCAAATTTTCTACATTTTTTTAATAGATTTTTTTTAAATATTTGGGGCAATTTTTGTGGGTCTACTAACAAATTCCCGTGCTTCTTTCAGGGAGTGTTGCTCCTCTGTTTTATGGATATTAACTTCTGACATAAACTTTCAGGTTTTCATAAATTTTTCATATAGCCTGTCTTTTACTGATAATATCCAACTCTAAATTTAGTCTTGTGCTATGCCATGTTGCCTTCACTTTCGCCATGTTTGCTATATCATGTTGCGACAACTTTATTGGTGATGTTACATCTAGATATATGTATTATGTTGTTACCCATCACACCTGAAGAACATTCACAAACTTGAATTAAACTGAAAAATTGTTAAATATTATAATTCATGTTGTTTTTTTGTAAACAGTGTTTAAATATTGACTGTGGGTTATATAACATGAAATATACAGTTAGATTATGATGCCTTTCTTTCCAACATTGCCTAATTAAATGATTGTGATTTCATGTTTATTTATTCTGTTGTCATAGGGCTCCCTGATGCAATAATACATATACAGACATTAAGAGCTTTAAAATGATTACCAAATATTAACTTTCTTATTTTGCTTTATTTTCTCTTGATGGTGGGAACATTCTTTTCACAATGTGGAAAATGTAATTCCAAATCTTATACACTATACTTAATTATTGTTTCTGTATACAGATCAATGCTAAATTTTCAGGACCTAGCAAGAAGTTGGGGAAAGCAGCTGCAGCAAAGGCTGCCTTGGCAAAACTCTACAATTTAACTTTCTCACCTTTCAATTCTCCATTGCCTGCTGGGAGGGCAATTGGTTCCCCCGGCAGTCAGCCAGGCTTTGAAGCCTTAGCTCTACCTCAGGTTCTGGCAGATCATATTGCCAGGTAAGTGCTCATCAGGATGATTCCACACTGTACAATGTCAGGAGCTTCCAGTGCTCGTAATGTTAAATGTAATTACATTTGTGTGTTATAAGAGCTCACATTGGACTAAAATTGTTAATTTTTCATGCATAAATAAAGATTTTTCTAATGAAAAAAGTACTGTCCTAATTAGGGCTGTATGGCTGTGATATATTGCTGTTCAGATAATATCAATGTAAATATTTACATTTGTATTGTAAATGCCCCAACTTTGTGATTTCAGATTGGTCATAGGCAAATTTACTGCATTGATGGAAGGTAATCCAGGGCATGCCAGAAGAAAAGTTCTTGCGGGCATAGTTCTCACTGCAGGGCCACAGATGGAAGCTGCAAGAGTAATATCAATTGCAACAGGAACAAAATGTATCAATGGTGAACACATGAGTGTGACTGGTGCATCATTGAATGATACACATGCTGAAATTGTTGCCCGTCGTTGTCTCTGTGATTTTCTGTATTCTCAGCTTGAATTGCATCTAGATCCAGGTAAATGCCTGCATTTAAAAAGATGTGTTATAAAATATGATGACCAGAGTTGTTTTATCAGTTTGTATAGTGGGCCGTCCAGACAAAAAGGTAGTGCTATTGGTAGTTTGATGGATACCTGATAATAAATATATTAAGAAGATCCAAAGGGGTTTATATGTTTAATTTTACCTGTCTTTATTTTTATGGTAGATATTGTAGAATAAATACTTATTAATGAAGAAATAAAATTTGCTGACATATATTATAAGAAAAGTTACATTTTGAAATTCGGAGCCCATCTTTCCATTTCATTACAGCGACATGTGAGCAGTCCGTGCTAGTCCTCAATCCCAATGGGAAGGGCTTTATTCTTCGCGATGGTGTTAAGTTACATTTGTACATAAGCACAGCGCCATGTGGAGATGCTCGTATTTTCTCTCCTCATGAAGCTGCAACTCATGACGATTCCGTGGACAAACATCCCAATCGTAAGGCTCGTGGACAATTGCGCACTAAAATTGAATCTGGAGAGGGCACAATTCCTGTGAAATCAAGTGATGGTATCCAGACATGGGATGGTGTGCTTCAGGTGTGTGAAGTTTTTATTTGTAGAAAGACAAATAGTTCAAATTGCACACTTTGTAGGTTGTTGCAGTATGTTTGTAGATTTCTTGAATTTATTATTTTTATTGTGTAAAGGATTTCGCATAAACACCGTAATAAAATCGTATTTGCTGGTAGGACCTTTTGTGTTAAGTCAAAATTGCACCAAGTAGAAATCTCTTAAAACTCTATGAACTGATATGATCTGTCTGCTTGTTGTTGTTTTTTTGACTTTACCAAGGATACTATCAGCAGTTACAATGGTTTCTTTGTCTTATTATTATTGTTATTTCTTATCCTGTGTAGACAAGCTTTTGAATTTTTTCACCTGTTTTCTGGTAAAAAAATTTTCTATCATAACTAGGCATCAGATTTTTGGGCTATAAAAATTATTTTAGGCACGTTTTGCCTTTCAGATATATTTCAGATGATTATTCAGATAATATTCTTTTATATACAGTCTGTACAATTTCTTAAATAGGTGGTATAAACTTACAAGAAAAGAAGTTTTTCCACCATCATTGTATTTTACTTTAAACTATTTTATTAATAAGATGAGCATGAACTATGAAATAGATTACAGATAAAGCAAGTGCCAAAACAACATGAATTTTATTTAATACTCATTTCAGCTTTAGTGTGAATTTCTGTCTAGGAATATGATTTCTTTATTTCTTACAGTTTCAATTACACTAAACAGGGACTTTTAGACTTCGATGACAAAGGACTGGAATTTACAGAGGTAGCCAAATTATTAACTTTTTTCCTCCTTTTTGTCCTTCACTTATTAGATAATATTGTGCCGTGGGAAGAACCTGACAGAAGTAATGGTTTGTGATGTAACATTAAGGTACTGGAAATGCAGGTGCGGATCCATGGAGAAGGGGACAAATAAGTGACACCCCCTCCCCAAATAATGTTTGAGTAACTATTAACTTGTTACAAAACTTTCAAGCTAAAATAATTTTGGATAATCATTAAAACGAATAAAATCGTATCGCAGTATGAGCTGGGTGTAGCCTGCAACATTTTACAAAATTTGTATTAACACATTTGAACAAAACATTTTTAATGTCCTCTCCCAAAAATTCTGGATCCTAAAGAACCAATGGTTCTCTCAAATAAGAGTATTTTGGAAAAAATCCATGTATTTTCATGCTTGACTAAGCTTCATGCCACTATAGGAAAGAAAGTTGAAATATATTAATGCATAGATCAGTCTGGACTCCAATGGGCTGTAAATAACCCTGACATGAACCCTGTAAAAAATGTATGATCTATAGTTGACACTGGTGAAACAAAAGCCATGGACAGTAGCTCATAAACTCGGTTGCACTGGGAAAAGTTACTCTGAAATTGAAAGAGTATATTAACATATCGGGGGCCGTTGTAATAAAACATGACAGAAACCTGTTCACACAGTTCATTGTCCAAATCTGTGTTTGCATAATTATCTTCTTCAATTTACTATAGTCTAGTAATTTCTAGCATTTCTATTTGGAGAGATAAATAAGAGTTTGCCAAAAAATCTGAAGTCTAATCATGTCATACTCTCTCTACTCTCAATAATCTAGGTCATAAAGTACAATTTTTCTCTTCTGTGCAAACTAGTTTGGAGTAGTGGGCTTCTAATTTCTAAAGTCTCTGTTACCAGCACATTGTATGTATTTTTGGGGACACATTACAAAAGAGCTTTATATTTTATCATAATTGTTTGATTGCTTGCTATTGATTTTCTGCATTAAATTGTTTAAATTATCTAATGGAAAAATAACTTTATTTTTTACAATTATTCACTGGAGGCCAATATAGCTTATCTGTAGCAAAAAATGTCAACACTTTATTTAGTAGAATAACATCAGTAAAATTCTTTTAATTTCTTTCACAGGTAAATTCAAAAACTTAAACACTAATACTATTGTGTTTCCCAACAAGTCTCATTTCAAACAAGTGTTGTCTGTATCAAGTGATGCCAAATCACTTCATCAATTTTATCTCTACACAACTCTATTTTCTTTTGTAATTCAACCTTGCAATTTGCTTACACCTATACTGTCAGTTTTCAATTTATTTCCTCACTTTCTTTGATTGTGCTCTGGCTTAGCATCTTTTTATATTTCCTGTAGTGAAATTACCCATTTGTGCATTTCTTTCTTCCTGTCATTTTCCTTCTCTCCTGCTTTAATATCTTATAAAAAGGAAACTCTTCATAGTTCTTGTTTGAAGACTTGTGCTTAGAATCTTGCACAGCCATGTTTTATGCGCATTTCATAGCCTCTATGCTTTGTTATATAAGTTATAAATATTTTTTCTTAGAATTGTTTTTTCTATTATCAAATTTCAATTTTGCATGTTGCAGTGTATGGAAATTGAAATCTTGTGGAATTGAACCCTTTTTTGAATGTACAATATAAATATATTTTGTATTCAGTTTTGCAAACATTTTTTTGAATATTTTATGTTTAATCAGTTTCTAATTTATTTATCATAAACGTTTTGGTTCTGAAGTAAACTTCATCTTGTGAATTTATGAATAGTAGCTAATATAAATATATACATATATACACACACACTGTAGTTGATTGTGTTAGCCTCTCAGGGATGGCAGTTTTCCGTAAGGCTTATTTTGTGTATTTTGTGCAATCATATTCATTAATCGATAACCATATAGTCTGCCTAGTTTCTGTTTTGAAGATATTTTGTTGCTATTACAATTAGAGGGAACTTTGAATTGAATAAATCAGGTTCTCTCTCTTTCTGAAACTTCATTAGTGCGAAGGCCCATAATTTGTGTTGTTTGGTAATTTTAATTTGGCGTTTAAATGGTTTTTATTTTGTATCTTTACCTACTCCTATCTTAAGTGTGTGTTATTTAGGTGTTGAATAGTGTTTTTGTCCTCATGTTATGAATTATGGACATTGTGAGCAGTCGATGCCAAGCAAACAAAGTGTCTTCTTTGGTTAAGGAAGAAATCAAACTAGTGATATTACAGCATAGCAGTGGTTTATAAATAGTAGCATATACAATGAGGATTAAATTGCAAATTATAGGCCATCTCGAATGGCTGCCAGGAATAGTGCAGAAGCAAGCTCTGTGAGCATGGAGATTTTGGTTCAAATCCTGCTTAAGGATGGGTGTTTACCTGTGTTGTGGCATGGTTGGCTTTCCTGCCTTTCTGACAATATCCTTTATTGTTTGACCGACCTGCTGGTGCAGGAGCAAGTGTGCGAGGTATGAACATATTGTACTCAGACAGTGCTGTACCTGATTCCCTTTGTGTTGCAGCCAACCACCATGCATCACCATAGAAGCCTGGATCCTTCCCCTTCAAACAGATTCCCACTACTTGATATCTACTGTCTTAGCCCGTGGGTACTTTGGCAGCTTTCCTGTCGCAAAAAGTCTGATGCGGGCCAAAAAGCTACCTCCAAATGTCAATGAGGAGATGGAATAGGTTGAATGCTGATGCTGAGTGTAGTGGATAATGTGAAGGAAAGAGGATAAATCATTGGCCTGGAAACCTGCTTGCAAGGGAGACTTAAGGTGTTGGGGAAGACGGGGCAGAAAGGCTGAAGTGTCGTGATCGAAAATGTGTGTACACACATACAAAAATATATTGCAAATAATTATGCGTATGTAATATTTCGGCTATCATGTGCAAATGGCTTGAAATATGGCTCACCATGTCTTTTTTTTTTTTTTTTTTCTCTCTTTTTTTTTTTCTCACACTTTGCCAATAATACTTTTAGTGAAGCCGAATACATTGATCTGAATGACATTCTACAACATTCATCTCTCTAGCAAAAAGTTTTGAAAGTTTTTTTAGCTTTAAAAATGTTCATTCTCGCTCTAATTAATAAACACATTTTTCAAAATTAATTAAATTTCCAAAAAGTTTCGTAGAATATTATATTTCATGATTTCAATTAAAACAATGGTTTGGTTTTCTTTTCTGTAATGTGTATATTATAGATTTTGGGTTTTATGGGAAGACCTGAATTTTTCATATTTTCTCTTTTTTGTGGTCCCCTAATAGTTAAATTGAAATGATGATTTTAGAACATTATAAAGATGAGAATAGTTTGCAAGCAATTTTTGAGAAAAGTTTTCTTGCATATTTTTGGACAGCAACCACAATTTGATTGAGAATTACTCAAAAACTACATGTATTTCAAACAAACTATACATGAAACAATTAGAAGATCAATAAACTTGTTTTTTATATTTTGAAGCACACTTTACTGTCTTCATACAAAAAAATTAAAGAACAAGTTTGGAGCCATTTTTGAGATAATTTTGAAAATGTCTTCAGAGGCTTAACGTTAGTAGCAAGCATTGTAAAAAGCAACTATTCCACTGATAGCTGGTTGGTTGGTTGAAGATGGCTTACGGCAAGAGGCAGGGAGGGTTCCTGTGGCAGTGTCCAATGGTATGGCCAAAGGGAAGTTGCGCAGAATGGAAGTACCCTCAAAAATTAAAGAATCTTTTTCAATTCTCTAGGAGTAAAAATCAGTCTTGATTGGGAAAAATCCATTTTGAAGAAATCTGTGCATGGTTGTAGTTACTAATATTCAGACAAACATTCATTTTCAAAAAGAAAACATACCTGGTTTCATATATTCAGAAACCATGAACATCTAATATGTATATTTTCATCAAAATCTCATAATTAATTTTTTTTTTTTTTCTTCATTTAATATATTCCTGCACATAAATAAATCATTATAAACTTGGTTCTTAAACCGTAATATTGTTTATGTAAGAAAGCGGATTGATTTGTCATGGTTAACATTGTGAATAATTGCCAGGTCATGGTGATGTTAATGATATTTTTTTTAACCCTTTGTGAGGTAGAACAGGATATTTATCATTGATTTGGTGTTACATACCAATATGTTACGTGTAGGTGAATTTTTGTGTTAATTGTTCTTATTTGCTTATGATGGTTTGGTTAACTATTTTCTTTTTAATTTATATTATAATTATAAATAACTATATATATATAATATAAATATAATATTATATATATATATATATTATTATATATATTATATATAGTATCATAAAGAGAAACGAGAAGAGAACTTAAATTACATTACTGTAATTATTTCGCTAACATTTAGATTATTATGATTATTATGTATTAACCCTTTTGTACAATCATTAGTTTCTCAATATATAGGGGGGAAGGAACTATATTGTTTTGTTATACAGTAAAATAGTTATCCAATAATAGGTCTATTAAGAACAGGATTGAATACATTAGAGCATTTTATAGATGTCAAATTAAAAGGCATTCGTATATTACTGTTGCAGAAGAACTGTTGAAATATATCATATACATAATTTTGTTATTTATGTAAAACATCACTAGAACATATATGGTCTTTCTAGGGTCAGCGGCTGTTAACAATGTCCTGTTCAGATAAGTTGGCTCGATGGAATGTGGTGGGTGTGCAAGGAGCACTTCTCTCGCACTTCATGGAACCAATATATCTAGAGAGCATTGTGTTAGGCAGCCTTTTCCATCCAAGCCACATGTACAGGTGAGTGGAAAAAAAAATAAGCTCCATTTTCTGATTCCTGTAATACTCTAAATGATGTAGTTCTTGGTTCTTGATATAGTTCTTATTCTTAGTTCATCTTTGTACTCTTTCATCTAGAAGATTGATTTTTTTTTTATACATCTAAGAAGGCAACTAGATGTTTGCACACTGTTGAATTAAACATATTTGTGTTGGGCACATTTACCATTTCTAAAATTTTATCCAGAAATGAAAAAGCCTCTGAATGAGATCTGTTTAGGTATTCCAGTTTGGGGTACTTGCAACAACTTACTTTTCCCCACTTAACATCAGAGGATCTAAACTTCGAGGGCAACTTGTGTGTTAAGATTGTTCCAGCATATGTTCTCAAATATAAAACTTCAGTTCAGGTGTTCTCTTACCAAAATGTAGAACTTCATTTGTTTGGATTTCAAGTTTGTAATTATTTCCATGAAAAGGAGATTTGCATTTATTTTTTTCTGACATCTGCAAAGCAATTCAGTCAGTCGGTCATTGTTTTTACCATATCATCATGTATTTTTTAAATTCATATTTTTTTGTAGAAAAACATAAGTAGAACATTTTTCTGCCTATGGCAAAAGGAAAACATGTAGAAGTAACTTTTCAACTTCAAGTAAGTCGTTTCCATTATGCTTTTCAGCGATTGATTTGTACAAGGTAAACTTTATGTAAATGGTGATTTGTCTGTCAACTTTAATTTTTTTCAATTATTACTGATAAAAAGTCATTGTTTTCTGCTTCTCAGTAATCTGACTCCCATTTCTAATACTGAAGCAACAGTGTCGTCACATATTTGCATTTCCTCTTTCCTGCTATCTAATCAATCAAATTCAATGTCATCAGCTTCATCATTGGAATCTTCAGAAAGAAACCTTTTAATTTCATGGTCTTTAGTACATTCTTTAGTATTGTACTGTTGTATTGACTCAAAATAAGTGAGCTTATATAAGCAAGAGACCCTAATCCCATCCATATCATATGTTTGGCTTCAGAGAGTTATTCTGAGTATCCAAGTTAAAATATGCCTTTTCGGGGAAATTTTTGACCCATATATTAACTTCAATACTCAAAATAACTCTCTGGTGCCAAACATATCATTTGAATTCAGCTCCCTCATTTTTTCATAGCTCAGAAACTTAGTGGCTGCACTTATGACCTGTCACACCTCATGGCATTGGTTACAGACTACCTATGCCCAATTTGCATGCCACATTTACTTCACTGCGATGCATGTCTTCTAAATGGGTAGTGGTGTATTGCCTCCTCGACTCTTCCAGAGGATAATTCTCTCTTAGTGAACTGCAGTGTCAAGACTCAGGCACAAAATTTCACCATTTCTTTCTTTTGAGAGAAATGCTATGTTTAAGTTTTTGTCATTTGTTTCAATACCCTATATGAACTCCAATTTTCCAATCATTGGTGGGTGTAGTAATGCAATTCTCACCTTCTCTGTTACACCCAATATATACACTTTGATAATGGAATTTTTAGTATTTGCAGGGAGAGCTACAGGCTCAACAGCATTACCTTTCTATTTACTTAAATCAACATGGTAGTCTTCACCACTGCTGACCACTTCAATTATCCAATGTTCCTCAGCATTAAAAGTTTATGTTGAGTAAGCAGAACATTGTTAGGTTTTCTAGAATTGTGTTGGTTCTATTGCAGGCACTATATAGAATTTTTCTGTATAATGCACTGCCGGAGATGAAGTTGTGAGAAGCAAGATGCCTTCCACATTTAATACTACCTTTCTCTCTCTCTCTCTCTCTCTCTCTCTCTCCAAATGCTAGCAATATTGTTTTGTTCGTAAATCTTCAACATTTGGTATAACGGTAATATGAGGTTACAGTACAACCTCATCAATGAGAATGAGAAGTGGTCTGAAAGTGAGAACATGCAGCTTAATGTTTATTTCCTTCATTTCTAACAAATCTGCCTCACGTGCCTGCATGGGCACAATAAAATAAAATTCTTGAAATATCAACAAAAATACAAAACAAAACAAAAAGTAAACATTTCTCTGCAGTAAAGATGTTACGTAGTAAATGCATTATATCAAACTAGTAAATAGTGCAACTAAATCAAAAGAAAACAATATTACCATCTATTAGAGCAAATAGCCACTGGTGCAACAGTCTAAGGAAAATTTAACGTTGTGTGACGAAACTTCCTGCTCAGAATTTGCAAATGCAAAGAAATCTGTTTATATGTAATGGAAAACAACATGAAGAACTAATTGTGTTAAAGCAACGTTGGAAAGTGAATATTAAAAAGATTTGTGGATCTGTGCAATGTGGCTATATGAAAGATAAATGTTAGTATGTCCCCAAAGTTTGAAGACAGGCATCAAACTTATTTTATATCTGGAACTTACATTTTTAATTTCTTCATTTGTACTCTTGTTTTTGTCTGAATTTGAACTTATTTCAATTATTTTGTGTTTATAGAGCACATAAATTGGAAACTTTGTTTGTTCTTTCTTTTCCTTACCTCTTTTTGCCTCAAAAAGAGAGCAATTAAAAACTTCCGTTACTTTCGTCATAACAAAAAATCAATCATCTCTTGTAGTAAGAACATAACAAATAACAATAATTCATTGAGAATAACATCGCAAATAACAAAAATTTTTAAGAACTTCAACTGATTGTAGTGTTGATCATCATTGTAAACATGTGGGATGATTTTTATGAAAATTTTAACCCTCAATTGACATTTTGGTGTCATTTTCACCTCATTCAAATTTAGAAGTTGAATATCCTACCTATTCTTCAAATGAGAATTTTAATATGCTGTATACCTTCAAAAAATGTGCGAGTCTTTTGATTTGAGAAATACTGTTGAATTTGTGCGGTTATTTTGCAATGACGCTGGTGAAAACATTTGTTGGAGTCACAGCGGCACAAACCAGGTCCTTCACAACAAATTTGTTAGATTCCAGAAACTTGTGATTCAGTATTGTAATCCTCTTACGATAATACCTTATGAAGGAATCATCCCGTGCTTTGTCATAAATAAATTTAAAACATTTAAGAGCTGTTTTTTGAAAAATCTTGGTTTTATATTTTTTTAAATTGCCTTTAGTATCTGTTGTGTAATTGATTGATATAATGTCTTAAAAAATGTACATGATCTTATTTAAAGATTATTTGATGAACAATGTTTGTTATGAATAGCCATCGGGTGTTAATGCTCTAAAAACTTCAGTTTTAGGTGCTTGAAAAGGTTATAAATGTTTTTTAAATAGGCACCGAAAAAATCATTAAAAACTTAAAATTAGAGGCGCAAAAACGGGAATGTGTTTTATTGCACTTGCATCTTAAATTAGCTAATACCTAAAAACAATATAACATAAGTAAATAGGCTTTTGATGAATCATTAGTGAGCGAGAGACTTTATCATCTTTCAGGATTGAGCTTGGTTACTACACTTATAGAGGCACTGATGGAAGTACTTTGCGTGGAGCACAACTCTGATAACTGCGGGCAGAATGAAGATGCACCTCATGCCTGGCAAAGATGGGCTTACAAAGCGCACTTACCAGAAGAACATCTAGCACGGAAATTTATGAGTGTCGGATGTGGGGATCATTCTACCCTCTGAGACACGAGTGCTTGATTACGTCATGAAATGGTGCTCTGCGCTCACGTAAGCGCCCACCACTCAACTAAGTGCCCAGAGAGAGCCAGTTTATTTTATTTGTGCAAAGAAATGCGAAAAAAGAAACCTGAAGCTGCGACACAAGCATTTGTGTTCCAAAAATTCAGTGACCTGCAAAACTAAATGATACGTTCGGTTGAGACAAACACTAGAAATTCATTACCAGTGGAAAATGTATGTGTACATGTATACATTTTTTAAAAAAAGCGTTGAAAAGGAAAAAGTCGAAAAAAGGCATTCATGTCAAAAACAAAAATTTGCCAGAATGGTTTAGTTTTCCATAATTCATATACATTTATTAATTGCCTTAAAATATTTTCATTAGAATAACATAGACATTTTCCTAAACATCCAATGTGTAGTAATGGAAAAACTGGTGACGCAATGATGCATTAGGGGAATATGGTTGAAAAGATTTGTGACTCTTGTACAAGTGTGTATTCCCCTATTTGAGCCAGTTTTAAAGAAACAATTTGAAGCCTTTTTAAAGAGAACTTTAAATACATTTTTGGGACTTAATGAGAAGTATCCCCCAAAATTAGAATCAAATTAAAATTCAAGGGGGCTACAAAATCAGTTGGATGAATTGGGGAATATCAAATTTTGATGAAAACTTTATGTATGGTTGAGGCTCTAGCATTGTTCTAAAATGAACAGACAAGTTGTTTCTCAAAAACAACCTTTTGATACAAAGGCTCCACAAAAGGTGGATAGACTGTTCTAATATTTTGAGAAAGTAATATATTATACACAAGAACAGCTGAGTTAGCTCAAGGCCTGCCTAGCTCTCAGCCTCTGCAGCAACTCTAACAAGGAACGCTTAGGGTTCAAGTACCAACAGTGGTGGGTTTTAAACTCTGTTAATATAACTATGTCAAATGTAGCTCCTGTGTAGAAAATGTTAGTGGTCAGCTGCTCTGATCCATGGTATCCATGGAGCAGTAATCTAATGTACAACCCACAGTTAATAGCGTGAGATCTTTCCTTCCACTTCATTGTCCTATCCTCGCCCCCTTACTGACATGCACTTACACGCACTACTCTGCCACACATGCCAGGAGATCGGTTGGGAGCATAGAGCTTGTCTCAGCTGGGGCTGTGCCCCGCTCATGGGAGGTGACTGGTTGAGGAAAACCCAGCTAGCTGTTAGTAGGTCTGTGCTCGATCTCGCCATACATGGGGAAAGCCCACTACTACCTCCCCGAGCAAAAACATGCACATCACTTATAGGACTAATCGATAGTTGAAATGCAAGAAATCTCTAACAATAAAATCCAATTGGGTCTAATGATCATACCAATGGATATGTCTGAAAATGTTAGTCAATCCATGCACTTTCTCAATGTCAGCAACCTGCATTTTTTGTAGTAGCATTATACTCCTTTACTCCTTTCTATATTTTACGAGAAAGTAATAAGAATTAGGTAGCACTTGCCAAAATGTGTGTTCTTGTATATGTCAATAAAAGTACTGAACAATGATTATACTGATGTTATTGTTTTTTATTATTAGTACATCATGTCAACTGCAGTTGCATCCATTTAGAGTTGCCATTATTTACCAACTTACGATTAAGTAAATACTGTAGTTGCCAATAGTTTATTAACTGCTTTTGTTGTGAAGGTAATAATTATTATGATTGGGTTTTACTATTTTGTTCTGAAAGTACTGGGTTATCATTGTAGTGCATTGCCCCAATACTCAACTATGGATGTTTCGTTTTTGTGAATATAATGACAATTAAACCTTTTGACGTTAGTGTAATTTTAGATCACCAAAGAAAAAATGGAGTTTTACTCAATGTATTTCTGTTAATATGCGTTATCTTTGTACAGGGCAGTATGTGGCCGCATTGAGAACACTGTCCAAGGTTTACCTCCTCCATACCGGCTCAACAAACCACTAATGAGCCTTATTACATCTCCTGAAGTGCGACAGCCCGGTAAAGCCCCAAACTACAGTGTTAATTGGACAATAGGTGAATATTTTTTCACTCTATCATGCTTGTTTCCTTTTTTCCTCTCTCACTTTCAATCATTTTAGTATTACTATTATTAATAATAATATTATTATTATTATTATTATTATTATTATTATTATTATTATTAAAGTACTCATTGGTTATGTTTAAATCTTTAACAATGTAATTATGAGATACTAATGTAATTCTGTAATCGAGAGAAATCGTAATTTTAAAATTTATTTCTAAATTATCCATAATTTTTAGATTTGGAGGCTTAGGAGTTGATTAAAACTTTGAAGAATACTAGGTGTTGTAAAAATGTTGTGTGAACTTTTATTCCTCACAAATTTCTAGTCATTAGGTTAGATCTTCTTTTCTTTCATGTTCATTGTATAGTACTAGTTCATTGTATATTTTTTCATTTCATAGGCCAAGAAGGCCCTGAAATAATCAATTCCGTAACTGGTAAGGACGAACGTGGCCAGGCATCACGGTTATGCAAACAAGGATTGTTTAGAAGATTTTTTAATTTAATGGGAAAAATTCCAACAAGAACTGGCACGACTAAGGATGGTTGTTCTCATGTGTATGCAAATGCAAAATCTATAGTTATAGATTACAAGGTACAGTTTGACTTCATTATCCCTACCTCATTGGACATCATTTTGAGAATTGATACCATTTCAATTGTTTTATTTCATTTCACAGATGGCAAAGGAGCAGTTAGTGATGGCTTTTCAAAAGGCAGAACTGGGTATGTGGTTGAAGAAACCTCTAGATCAGGACATGTTTGAGTTAGAAGATGTTGAACTTCCAGCGGGGGCTACTACTGCAGCAGAAGACCTGAAACCTGCACTTGACATCAAGCCTTCAGTTGACATCAAACCATCACACGACATAAAACCTCCAAGTGACGTCAAACCTTCGGCGACACACTTGCCGCAGCCATGACTCGCCGCCGCAGCCATTGATCTTGGGGGGGCTCCCCGCCTCTCGGGATAGAGCCGCCACTCAGCCTCCCGCCCCAGCGTAGCCCCTTCTCCTACCCTCAGGCCCGGTGCCAGTAAAGGGCAGACCCTGGAGAAGTGACCCCTTGCTGTAATTTCATGTGTGGGTGCACAGAACATCACAACAAGGGGTCACTAGCTTTGGTAGTTACCGAGAAACAGTATTTGCATTGAACACTTTCACTAAGCTTTAGTAGTCATCCATAAACAGTATTTGCAATCAGTGCATAGAATTTGCATTTTAGAGAGAATTTTAAATGAATTCAGTGCCCATCAATTTTTGGCCACATCCTAGGCATTTGTGAGAAAGTAAGTTTCTCAAATTGTTAGTAGATTAGATAAGTTAAGTTTTGTTTTGTTTTTTGTTATTGTTGTTAAAGTTAATGACAGGTAATGAATGCCGTTATTATATTATAATTATATCTTAACAGCATTTATGATTGTTCGAATTCGGAAGATAGGGGAAATTTGTGGTAGACAGATAAATAACATGAACTTGTACAGAAGTTGCTGCTGTAAAGATTATGATATTTGTCAAGGTCTAAAACTAATTTCAAAATATACATGTATGATCTATCCATTCAGAAGTAGAAATGAGAAAACCCACATTCCATTTCTTATCTTAAAAGTTTTGCCAGTTTTAAACATTACTTTTCAATAGGAAATGGAAATTTTAATGTGTGTATTTTCTTTATTTCTTGATGGACAGTTCATATGTTAGTAATTTAAATTGACCACTGTAGAGGAAGTAGGGCACTTAAAAGACTGAGTTCTTGTTGGAATAAGCCCTCTCCTTGTTTCCGTACAACTGAATTGCTCAATTTTGTTTCAGTGTTAATGCGCAAACATATCATGACATTCCACATTTCTTCCATATTGTTGTATCGTTTCATTTTTTTTTTACGAATCTCTTTTGTAGTTAATTCTCCCATTGTGTTGAGAAATCATGCCCCGAAACTCATCTTGTTAAGCCACAACATTTGTAAATACTCATGGTTGATTTTGTGCAGAATTGTGTTGAATGTTAGTTCTTGTGATTTTTGAGAGGAGTGAAAGGATTTCGTTCATATGAACACTGGCTGTGAGAATTTAGTGCCACACCATGCCACAACTCACAGTTTCCAGGGCCTGCCCCTCACTGTGCTGAGCCAATGGTTGGCGCAGATGGCTGCCGGCGGCCTCTATCCCGTCTTGCGAAGCCCCTGCAGGACGGTAGGCGGGCCTCAAACTAGAGTAGTGAGCTCCGGCTACGTCCGATGTGCTGTAATGTTAGCATGCCTTCTCTGTTGAATCTTTTCTGTGGTACGAAGTGAAGAATTTGTGGGAGGCGGGGTTTGTTATTTCCTAAAACTCGGAATATCACTTTCTAGTCTAAGGCTTGTACAGTACAACTCAATTTGTCAACATCCTGTGTAGTCTGTACTAACCAATGTGAGAAAGCAGTTTTTTGATTGGCTTGTTCAAAGGATGGCCAAGCCATTGCTTTTTAATACCATGCTGCAGTCAAGAATTGTACACACACATTTGGAGTTACTGGTTGACTACATGAGGATGAATTTGTAAGTTAATTTTCCTTGTTCTTTTCATAGATAATATACAGCAGAAGTAAATAATTCCATGATGTATTCGTAGGTCATCTCTTATCTGAACGTCAATTATTCACATTCAGAATTTGATTGAAAAGTAAGAAATGTTAACAATTAACTATTTTGCATAAATTTAATACATTTGATACATGCATTCATTATAGGACATAATATTTGTTGTTTTTGTTCTGTGTATTTAATTTCAGATTTTGTTCATCTTGCCACAGACTTAGTACTATTTGTTCTATTGCCATGCATTATCTTAGTCTGTTTTGAGACTTTTCTCTTTTTCAGTGTTGTGTTTTGTATCCGTGTCTGTTTATTTAACTTTCATTCAGTGTAAGTTGAAGTCTTTTTTTGAGTGTATTGAATCTCTTACGCATGCTTCATTCTCCATTTAATTTTTCTTTTCATTTCATTTCTGAATGCACTTAACAAATTCTTCCTATAGTATTTTGAAAGTTGTTCAGATAATTCATGAAACATTTGTTAAAATTATTCAAAATTAAAAAAATTAAGGTGAAGTTTTTAGCGTTTTTGTAAGTACTTAAAACTTAAATAGGAAATTATGGCTTTAGTCAGTGATACAACATGAAACTTGTCGGTGGTTGGTGAACACTGAAGAATTTTTGTTGAACAATGAATAAAATAGTTAATCATTGAAGTACCCTGTGAAATTATGCTGCCTTCTGCACTGTAATGTGCTGCGAAATAATGTGCAATACACAGGGACTCAGTTTTTAGTACAAAATTGCTTATGTCGTCAGGTCAATCAAGAAACGAAGATTCACAGGTGACATGTATTTAGATTCCTGGGAGACCCAACTAGTAAACATGCAAAGTTGCTTAGTTCTTTCTATTTATACAATAGAGTTGCAAAAAACTAGTTCATGCATTAGATGTTCAACTGAATCTACTTGCAGAATGCATAAAAATATTTTAGGCAATTGAAATTATATAATTATTTCATTATTATGAATTTTTTTCACTCAATTGTGAAGTGAAAGTGAATTTTCGCAAAGTTGGCGACTCCTTCAAAGAATTTTAAATACTACCCGTATGTGATCAGGCAATCCCATCGTAAATTTGTTTCTGTTGTATCAGAAGATGGCAGTGAAGTAGGCTCAGCTTATGCCAAGCTGTATTGCTCTTTCTATATTCTTGTAATTTGTCAAATAATGACCTATTCCCTCCATGGTAGTACCGTTCTAGCCAGGATTGATTCATCTGTCTTGGATTTATAGGCATTTGGTGCACTACTTAACTGCCACAGAGCACGTTAAAGTGAGGTGGGCGACAAGCCTTGATAATAAGTTGCTAGTCCCCAGTGGTATACTATGCACTTTAAAGAATTTTGTAGGTTTGTCAGATGGTAATAAATTAGGGCAACACATAGCTCAAATAATATTGATATTGATATCAATTTTAGATTATAGGTCTGGCTTGTACAACCATTTCAAGTTCATAGACATTGGTTCTGCAAGTTTTACCAGAAGCAGTTTACTTGATATCAATATTAAGTCACATAAATAAATATATCAAAAACCTTGTATTTTGTACTTTGTGTCCAGGCAGATGAATTCTAGATTCCTTCCTGAGAACATTGGCCTAATTACATTCCCAGTTTTTAGAGCTTATCCAGTTTAGCAGTTCACCCATCTGATTTTTTGAAGTGTACTTTTACAGCTGTTGCCATATTTCATGGCAGAGGGGAGTGTAGAATTTGGGGAAATGCTTAAACAGTTGTAATATGCTGATGGATCAGTGTGCCTGCTGCAGGTACCCCATCACAGGCTGAAAGAATCCCTACAAGTATCTTAGTGCTCTGTAGTGCTCTTTTGAGCGGTGCTATGCTGTGTTAACCAAGTTTGCCTTTATCCATTGTGGGGGCAGAGGTCCATTTCTGCATGTCATTATAATATTTATTTGTAATTTATTATAATGTTAACAAAGAAACTTCAACCTCACAAAAGAAGCTATTTCCCCAACTCTACAGCCTCTCTAATTGCATTCCTCAACTTGAGGAATTTTTTGTAGAAAAGTTGTAGGGCAGTTGTAGCTTATTACTACATGCTGCTGGTTGTTACTGAATGTCCCAAATGAGCTGACCGAGACAATTCAGTCTTTACAAATGCCACATTCAGTGCCCAAGTCAAGTTCCGGTATTTTTAATAATAGCAGTTCTTCTCTCTCTTTCTCTTAGACACAGATTTGGCCCATTGCTGCCCTCGGCACTTCAGAGCAGTTATGCTCAGAGGTTGCAGCAAGGCAGACAGGAATTGTGCAAAATGTCACTATTTTCTGAAAATGCTATTCTTTTCAAATTTGAGGGTCAGTTGAACAAAATTCACTTTAGTGGTTCTGACTTACGTGTATATGTTGGAATGCAAGAGTGCTGGATTTAAAGGGGTTGTGTGTGTTGTTTACTAAAAGTAGTAAATAATATTTGCCTGATTCTTTATCACAATGCTATTAATGAAATGTAATTTTTAAGTCGGAGATTAGAGCTTTCTCTTTTGTTCATGATTTTTGTTTAATTGATCCTCTGTTGCCCTTCTTTTTTAATCTTAGCTTTACACTGTTGAGATATTTCTCAGTACCATTGATTGCTTTGTTGGATGAAGCAAATGCGGCTTAAGTCACTGTACAGTACAAGAGGAGAATTTGTCCCTTGCGTGAGCAATATTCCTCCAGTCTTCCTGCATTTTTAACTGCAGTGTTGCAAAGGTGCTCTGGAATACCGCGGGCTTGAAGCCCTTGTCGGCTGGCTGTAGTTATATGCATTTTCTCGATACTACTTAATCTTGTGTAAGGGTCTCTTGATCTAGAACGCTACCCCTTAATCTCATAGAAGCGTATAGTATTTGTTGATATTGGAGACACAAGAGTGTTAAACCTGGTAAATGAGCTACTACGCGGTAGCTGAAAAAAAATATTGCATTTAAATACTTGACTTTTAATAGAATAAATAAATCATTGTATCATACTTCTTACAACTTTCTCATCTTGTGTGGTTTTAGATTGTATAAAATTTTCTAGTGCCATAATTTGTGATTATTTTTTTCCAATAATTCATCATTTGGTAAAATTATATTAGAAAAAGTAAAAATAAAAATAATAATCTAAAATGTTGTTTCAAAACTGTGAAATATAGAATAATAGAACCCTTAGTTAGCAATCCTTAATTAATCCTTCAATTACATTAAATAAAGACTAAGACAATTCAGTTTATGAATTAATTCTGCATGGAGCTAGATTACTACCTAATAGTGTAACATAACAATAACAATTTTATAAAACACTTTCAAATTGTCACTTGCTAATTATAATAGTATAGTCCACAACATGCAGGAATGAAGAGGTTCTTGGTTTGAGAAGTATAATGTATTTAAACAATAAAAAGTTTATTCTTCTCAATAACTGCATCCTTGATGATGGCATTTTGGGTACAGATGGAAGCAGATTTACAAAACCCAGATGGGTATTTCATACCTACATGAGAAATGAGCTTGTATTATTTAAATTACACATTCAAAGCTAAACTCTGATAGAATAGGTATGAGTAGGTTTATATATTCAATTAAACACACAACATTATTTGCTTTCTTCTGCACTACATAGATAGGTATATTAATTTTCCTTTCACACAAATGTGAAGGAGAGGTGCAATTCCAGTAAACAGTAGTTTTAATACAATCCTATCCAAATTGATACCATTAGCTCCTGTAATACTGCTTGGAGATTCTCTTCAATATATACCATACATGACTAACAAATATATAGGCATCTTCTGGGTCATCACATCTACGATATGTACTGTAATTGCATATGCAATTCTTCCCTGGTCCGCATGCTTCATAGGTATCCAGTGTTAGATGATTGCCTTATTACTATGCATATGTGCTTGAGAATATATTTTTGATCCAGTATTTTTCAGTTGGCAGCTTTGTAACTCTTCTATTTAATTGTAGTTGAAGAGGTTATTTTTTCAGAGAAATAAAACACAAAATTCAGACGGAAAAGGTGTATTTGAACACAGACAGAGCAAAACAATGAAGGGAGTGCTGGCTAGTACAAATAAGACTTCGGAAGAGTAGGGATTGCTTTGCAAATTCGTACTGCAATATAATAAGCATATGCTCATCATTCTCGTAGTTCTATGCTTGAGTATTAAGAGGTACAAACATCAAAGTTGGTTAAGGATTTGACATTTTTCATAATGAAGAATACATTGTTTTCAGCAGAGGAACAATGGTAAAGGTGCTAGAAGTATTGGTACTTAGAACTACTCTATAGGTTCCATTCATTTTCTTCTGAATTTTTTAACTAAGCTTTTACCTCCTGCCTTGCTTTGTCGTGTTCTTGCTGCCATCTGATCAGGTAGTCTGAGACAAGTGGAATTTTATTTTTATTGTTCCTGTATTTTATTATATATACACACATCTATCTATTCAACACTGGGAATTGAATTTCTAGTGTGCCATGGCCACCCACGTGTGATAACATGTTAGACAAGCCATTTTATATAACATTTAACATGATCACATTTAACAGTAAGTGTAGTAAAGCTCATTAGAATTTCTTTTCTTAAAACTATAAAACAAAAATAATTGTCTGCTCTGTAAAACTGACAATTTGCCCAAAGAAAGACAAACTTTGTATATCATATAACAACAATATCAAACCAGATAAATCTCCAACATGATCTTTTTTAACTCATTGAACAAACTCACAGGTAATGTGTATGTGATTAGGAAGTGTCACAAGGAAAAGGTGCTGGATAAGAGTCGGGACTTTTTTTGTGGAAGGCTATACAAAGTCTTTGAATTTTAAATCACCACCACCACACAGTGCTAACTATCTTGCATGAACTGTGTAGAAAGTCATGTAAAGGTCAAGGTAACCGGCAGTTTTTTGCAGTAAGGTTTTCTCTCCAGATTTATGAGTGTATTAGAAGTTGTGAACAGTTATCAACAACTCTCTGATCAGTGGATTTTCTAGACATACTTAAGTTCAATGTTCATCACTCACTTCACCTTTCTGTGAATTGCTTAAAAACAGTTTTTCTATCTATGATTCAAAGTACTGAATGCAGAGAAATTTAGATGTATTTGTAAGAAAATTTACAGTTTTTTAGGTACCCGCAGGGGAAGTTCTTGTTTCTAGTCCTAATCAGTATGTGTGATAATTAAAAACACTCCAATGGAATGACAATGATTGTGTGTATTTGGGGAGGGGTCTCTCAAATGTTTGTCGAGGATCTTATGAAATTTATGGATTGCCTTGCAATGTGGTTCTTATATATTTCAGTAGAAGTGTCTCCAAATTGGCATTTTGCGGAATTTTAGTTTTGCATTCATCTTTTATGCTGTCTAAGGAAATAGTAAGTACACCTTAGTGCAACATATTAAACTGCATGTTTTATTTGCAAAATAGGAACAAGACAAAAATTGAGATTTTGTCACGTTGAAAGACTGCCCATGATTTGCCTCGTTATTTCAACTGTTGGGTTGATCTGCCATCATCCTTTACATGCTCTTTCCTTGACCCAGTGCAAGATGGTTGCCATCCTGTTACCATTATGACGCCATCCTGTTTCCATTATGACGGATAAGCTGCACGTGTACAATACATGTTTGGCCCTGGCTGTTTTCCCAGGGCAAATTGTGTGCTGTGCGGGACCATGCCAGGTGCCTACCAGTCATAGGCGGCGTGTGCCGTGGACGGCACCGGCTGCTGCGCCTGCAGGCGGGTCAGCGCCGGCGGGCCGCCTGCTTTGCTTGCAGAACCCTCATACTCCGACAGCACCTCGTTGTAACGCTATCACACAAATGTGCACATACAAGGTGAGTTGGTACATATTTGAGAATTGCCAGGCTGAAGGAATTCTGGAATAGTAATTATTTTTTATAGAACATAATAAAGTAAAATGATCTTCAGTGGACATAAGTTGAGAGAATTCTTTGTACTACAAAAGCGAGGGTTATCCGTTTTATTTATCTGGTTGCCTATTGATCGATTGAATTGGTTGATTGGTTGGATTTATCATAAGCCCACACACTGCTAGAATTATATAGACAAAGGTCATTTTAGGCCATTCTATGAACATCTCTCTATTACATTTCGTATATGAACTTATGTCATTGATACTGTAATAAATCTAATTGTATTAATGTATAATTTGATGAGGTTTCCCATTGACTAATAGTGGTTGAAGGGTTGTTCCTTGTCTGAGGTTCAGCATAGAGCATATTTTCTTCCTCTTGAGTGTTTTTGTGAAATAAAATGGAAAAAAATATTTCATAAACCCAAACTGTAGAGTATTATCCTCTCTGAAATACTTTTATTTATTAATATACAAAGCCAGTGAGATGTAATTAATGTATTTAAAGAATCAGCAAATACGGCAATGCTCAGTTCAGCATTAGAAAAAATTAATTCGCATTGAAAAACTTTTTACAAAGGACACTTATTTAGTAGCAATTTATTTTTAGTTATAATAATACTGGAAGGTCTGTAGTAACAAGAAGGGTAACGTGGGACAGACAGTGGAATATGATGAATAGTACGGTAATCAGGCTAGTTGTTTAGGATCTTACGATACATCATTATGAGAGACTATTGCCTTTTCTGCTGGCTAAACATAGAGATGAAATTTAGCGAACGCACACTCATGGTCAAAGGGGATAAATTGCAGTGTCTCTTTACTCGAGGTACTTGAAAATCTACTGACATTGTTCTAAAATTCTACAATGACCTTTGCGATTTGGTGTCCAAATTATTAAAATTGTATATGAAGTAAATTTTTAATTTGAAATTGTGCATGAAATGAATATGCTAATGAACAATCACGGTTTCATGCCAATGACACAAAAAAACACCACAATTGTGTTATAGGTAAATTGGGACTTATTCCCCCGGTTCTGCATCTAACTGATTCAAGATCATTAAAACTAATTGGCAGATTACAATATAGATTGGAAAGCTGACACACTTGCAACCCACTACCTACATTATTCTGCAGCACTTACTACCATTGGGCATATTTCTGAAACAATGTGTCCTTGATCCTTAAAACCATATTTTTTGTCAAGTTATAATTCTTCATCTACACAAGGAGACATTTTTGAGCATTCACCGATTTCATAGCATGGGTTGTCAGAAATGTTCAAAGTTAGTTTACAGTATGAAGGTATTTTAAAAGGCTTCCAAAACAACAAAAGAAAATGAGCATCGCAACGTGGACAATGTTTGCATATGTCCACCTAGTAGCCTAATTTAGAATGCCTATTTTTATGTAGCTGAAATGTACCCTGTATTGCCTAGTTATTGTAGTTTGTGAATGTATATCCTACCTCACCTACCTTGCCCATCCCCACCCTGCCATGTTTCTTACAGTCATCATTGCTTTGGGTTGCTGAAAAGATGCATTCTTGCTAACTCACCTGGCAAACATCCAGTAACAAATTTGACCTTGAATTACTCCAAACCTGATTGTGCTATTTGAATGAATGAATTAATGAATGAAAATGCATTTAGTAGGAAATATTACGGGCTTTCTGAAATGCCCAATTCGCATTGGTAAATTTACTCATTGTTTTTAGATATGCAAAACAGAAAAATGTGCACTCTTAAATTTTGCTGTATGGGTGAGAAAGGAGGATAGGAATAATTTTCACAAAATTTCATAGGTGGTAACTTTCCCTTTTAATATAAAATTGATGTGTTTTTCATAATGGTGTCAATGAACATACCACAATATAATCATTAATAATATATTGGGCTATATTCCAACTTAATATTCATTTTTGCAATTGCATTTAACTATGCTAAAATAGATCTGATTTTTTAATGTAACAACTCATCTTATCTTACTGGCAGGTCGTGTGTTCCTCCAACTTGACAATATGTTTGAAACCTCATTTCGTTTTGGAAAAGTGACACTACTGTTTCAGTAGATTTTTTAAAGGTAAATGAAATTATGTAATATTATTAAAGTATCAAAATAGGAAAATGAAACCCCTGCAGAATGTATTGTAAATTTGAAGTGAGGTAAATTGTATGTGCAATTGCATAACTGCAGGTGATTCATATTTAAGAACAAGTTCCTAATTATATGTTAATCTGTATTTATATATTTTATTTATATATTGATATGTTCTTTTTCAGCTATTGACAAGATGTGAATAAGCATGGTCTATTTGTGTAATAATGTTCCTCTTGATGTTGACATACGGGATACTGCTTAATCCCATGATGTCATGTATGTATGTGGCATTAATTTCATGTCAATGATTTAGCATGGATGGTTAACATGTATTTTGTGTATGATATTTTGAGCTCTTCAGATTAAGATTTATGTTGTGATTCAGTCTTGGAATGTTCAGTTACGCCCAGAAACAGATCGTTAAGTAGGTATCACAAGAAATGTGTTTATTCAGATTAGTACTTGAAAAGCCCTTACATTTATACTTTGTAATCAAAGAAGTTCTGTTATTGTTGGTAAAAACAGAGAATTAAAGTCCATGAAAAATAATTGACATAAATTATGTATTTATAGATTCAAATACGTGCATGTATTTTTATGAATGTATTTCAGATCTGCTGATTAATTTGATATTTTAAATAAAGTGAATTAACTCTCAGTACTATGGATGAATGTCATTGATTATTACAGATAATTACACTGTTTTCAGACCAATTTCAAATATTTGAGAGTAATGTCATTATTAGAAAAACAAAGAAATAAATCCGACATTGTAATTGTGTCCTAATTTTTCTATTTTCTCATTTTTGAAATTAATCCCTAATTCATTAATTAATTTTGTCTACATGCAACATAAATAGATAATTGAAATATAAAGATTGCTTGTCATTGTTGCTGAATTAATCACAATGTTCAAAGAAGAAATTTCTTTCAAGGAAGTAAATGCCCCAATGCCATGCCAGGGCAAATTATTTTTCAAATACTGATGCTATGTTACATGATTTCTTGCATTATTTTCTAACTTTTGCACTATTTGAAAATTCTGAGAGGCAAAAGTCTTGTTATGTATGAGCGTAGAGATGTCTCACAGTAAACCATTTTTGTTTTGTATCAAAAGCCCATAAAACATGAATTCTGACTTCACAACGTGTTAGAAGTAGTAATTTACTCTGTAGATGAAGAACAAGAATTATCCTTGTTTTTGGAATAAGGGACGTACAATACAAATTTTTCTGTCAAAAAATTACCGCTTCTTACTTCAGCATTACATACTTTCTCACATCCTTCTTCTGTATAAAGGAGAAAGTAAAAAAAAATATAAACAAACTGGTGGTCATTACAAGAACACCAAAGGAGATTCCTCAGTTTGGTCTTTTACTTTCTCGTGTACTTCTTTCTTAGTTATGTATTTCTGTATCAAAACATGGGATTTTTCTGCAGAAAGTCATATTGTATTTCCACAATACTCCAAAATGAGATCATTCTTGTTCCTGTTTGTTGTAAATTACTTCCTCTAATGTGTCATGTAGTCTGCTCTGTCTTACCCTATCAGTGGACAACACTAATAGCTAAATTGTAGACAGATTTGCCAACAAAATTGATACTCTCTGTTCAAGATGGTTGATGTTGGGGACCTTTGAATTGTTAATTGATATTTTGGTATTGGAGTACTTAACATGAAGCCCCCAGTGATATTTTCAAAATGTTGTCAAAAATTACGCCAAAATGTTTTATTAATATACAGGGAAAATTAGAATTCAGATATAATCCGCAGTACTGAGGTGTTATGTATATTAAAAAAAATTGCATTTTTATTTTACAACCATTCATCCTCCTCAATCTGTGAAAATGATGAATAGAATGTGTTATTATCCTTTATCATTTTAAGAAACAAGAATTGAAATATGAAACTCTTGTTGGATAGAAATTAATAATTTCAGATGTTTGTTGTAAAAACTCAGCTTACTTTGACACATTTCATTCCATTTTTAATAAAACTTGAAAATCAAAGTAGTAAACAGAAGGTAAAAAGGTAGAAAAGTAGGATGAGAAAATAAGATGGGTTAGGTATTTTGTTATATCATGAAATTGTAAAAATTATAATTTATTTTCGGTAATAATTTATTGTATTTATTTTCAGTTTATAATAACAAAATTAAATTAATTATGTCTTTAAATAAGATACCCCTGTATTATGGTGGTACAAGGACCACCTCTGTTGTACTTACATCTCTGAGCCCAATAATCTCTGTTGGTTCGCTACTGATGTTAACTCAAAAAATCGGTTATTTTTTAGAAATCTGATTTTATATGCTAAAAATCCTTTATTTAAAATTTAAATTATTGTTCAAGAATGGATCTAAAAATTAGTCTTTCAGTATCCTTTCACATGCACAAAGTGCAATTTTTTGCATGGGTTCAGCTAGTTAAAATCATTGGACAGGTTCAAGTGTTAAGTATAAAAATATTTTCTGCTGCATTTCGGATTGTATACAATTCAACATGTTATTTAGTGCGCTAGGTGATATTTGTAGTATATAATTTTAAAAGAATAAATATAACTGAATCAAGTAATGTACTTGAAGTACTGAATTAATGACCAGGTTTTTCGACTTTTCCCTACTCCATTGGAGAAATGCTGAGTTTGTTACTTTATCTTCTAAACAAAAGTTGCTTAACTATGTGCAAGTTTTGTTGAGCTATCCTTGTGCTAATTTAGGAGTATAGCCGGGCGGGGGTGGGTTGCTATTATGGTAGCAACACCAGAAAATCAAATGTGCAATTTGTTTATAAATGCAAATAAATATTACACGGGTATAACAAGAGAATAGAAATTCCTAATTTTCAAACGTTTCTAACCATGCATCATTGGCTCTTTCGTGCATCCATTCAACAGCGTACTGTAAAAGGTTGGGGTTGGGGTAGGGGTTCTGGAGCTCAAGAAAATGTGTGCAGATTTTACTTCCTCCTCGTATGCCAATGGGATTTTACTGTATTTTTGAAGAAGTACAGGAATTCAAACCCAGAACTACAAGTGTGGTATGAGCATCGAGATGGGTCAAGAGCTACCACGGACGTAGTAATACGACTGAGTTGAGTCTCATGGCTACCTCGACGTGATATTTAGGCAGCTCGAGGAAGCGTCTCACTGTGAATTGCTCCAAAGCAAAACAAGGGACCAAGAAAGTAGTTCATTTGTTCAAGAAACAGCTCTTTTTAGAATGAAATTTTCTTCTTGAAATGTCTCCCACACGAAGTCGCTGGCAATACTCCTTTGGAATTGATGCAATCAATATTGACAATTTTGAATAAATCAATGAAATTACAAAAACATGCATGATGTGTGGAAAGCATGGCTACTAGGCCCCATCCCCTGGACCCGCCAGTTCGGTTTTGCTTAAGCATTTGTTCTAAATCTACATCTGAAACTTCGCGTACCAAACGAGTCCTCTAGAACTTACACAGAACATGATATGCGTATGTTAAGTAACTTTCTAGGTTTAATTAATATAGTTTTGAGCTTGGAATGGATTTTAGTGAAAATCTTAATTTTTAAAAAAAAGCTATTAAAATCCGGTGAGGTTCTATATAATTGCAATTGTATTTCATCTGTACAACGAATACATAAGGTATGTAAGTAAACGGAGACTTGTATTTTGGTCCATCTTCGGGGGGGGGGGGGGGGCGACTCCAGACATTTTTTTTTTCCTTTTCTTGCTTCAAAAAGTCTTTCTCGGAACAACTAGCCCCTTAACCTTACACAATTTTTCAAAAATGAATATTTTCCTGTAGATCTGGTGCAACTTAAGGTTTTGTGATTAGCAACGGAACTTTTAATTTTGGTGGGTTACTTAACATGGAAGTTCCTTTGTCCAGTGGAATTCGGTTTCCCTCTATGCGCTCATCGAGCGCAATATAAATAGTCGCTGCACTCGGAAGAGCCGGGTCTCTTCAAGAATGCGCAGGGAAATCCGTAGGCGGCAGGGGAGGGTATTCGGAATTCGAAGACACAATGCGCCCCTTTATGATTGCTAGAAGATCGCACAAATATTCGTGAAGTAATTTCTTTTAAATGCTGACAAAATAACTCTGTACGTCACAGGTTTTTACAGTTAATGAACATGTTTATTTATAAGTGAATCCCTAAATCTACTTAACGAAATATAATATTCTTTATACTGTAATGTATTTTGCATCATCGAGCATTTTTGTTTATAATTACGCGAATGTCTTTGAGAGAACTAACAGACAGCTGCTGAGCTTGGAGGCAATAGTAAGCGTGCTCCACCTTGCAACACGGTAGCTTAAAAGAGTGGTAGGAGAAGCCGAGGTTTCTCAAACGTTTGTACGGTCATGTCGAAATAGTTCCGATATTACTCTTCAATTGGACACTTCAGAAAAGTTCTCAACTTCGACGGTATTGAAACTTCACTTCGTATGCGTTTTTCCGTTTGCGCACTTGCGATGAACAGAGACGGGCGCAGTGACGCGCCCTGATGAGGGCGGGGATGAATACATGGAGAATTGGAGCTAGTATACAATCAAAGGCTCATTTTTTAAAATTGTTCTACTTAACGCGGTCGTCTGAGGGGGGAGGGGCATGGAGGAGTTGAGTACATTTAGAACTTCTAGACTCAGAAATGACTGCGTGGCCATGGACGCTGCCGCCGCCAGCCGAGGATGCCAGGCAAAAGACCGGAGGTGTGTGTCTCTATTTCTTAATTTATTGATAATGATTTCGGGCGCATCAACTGTTAAGGTGTTTAGGTGAGGTGGCAGTGATCTCCCCCGCTGGATAGCGAGATCCGGCGCCGACCTACCGTCGGCTAGGGGAGTTTTCCCAACCGGGTATTCCCACCAGCGGGGCACCGCCCCAGCTGGGACAAGCTAAGCTCCCGACCAGTCTTTCGGCATGTGGTAATGTAGTTGATCGCGCGGGGTTCTTGGCCCGTTTGTTAGGAGACTGCCCCGGCATTCGCTCGGTGTTGATAGGAGAAACCACGAAAAACTACTGATCAGAGCAGCCGGTCGCCACAATATTCTCAAGACAACGATTGAATTCGACCTAGGTGACAAGGTAATGGTGAAAATCCTGCCACTATTGGGATTTGAACCTAGTACTTTCCTGGTCAGAGGCATTCAGTGACATGTTGATGCCCTGAACCTCTCCCATTACCGCTCTCTATCATTGCCTATCTTGATCTACAATATTTCTTGTATATCTATGTCTCTATCTCACAAATATGTACATTAATCCATTAGAAATAATATTAATGTGTGGCGTAATGAGTAAATGTGACAGATTACAGGAGCTAAGTGCTAATAATTGATATACGTGTCAGCAAGCTAGCGCACTCTACTACTACCATCCTTGTCTACCCCTCCGTTATTCTCCTTCCCCTCTCCGGGCCAGATCTGCTTTACACTCCAGTTGGGTATGAACCACCTACTCGTTTGCAGACGCCTCGAATCTGGGGTCAGCGAAAACGCAAGTCCCGCTAAGACAACACACGTAAAAGAGAAGAGGGTCGAACCCGCGACCCTTCGGACCTTCGCGTTTAGTTCATTTCTTACTTGGCAACTGTTCTTAGTGATAAGCCTCTCGTTTATCCCGGTTGCATGTATTATAAAATAGCGAACGAAATTTTCGGTAACAACATATCCATATTTTCAAAGAAAAATATCGTTATTAGAAAAAAAAATAATTCGTTTCCATTTCTAGCAAAACCCACGTACCTGGAAGTTTCTGCGGATGGCCTCATCGCTGACAGGCTCAGCCGCCCGGTAGTTGTAGCCACCCCCGCCCCCGCCTCCGTTCTGCAGGAATGGATTGGTGGTACCTCCGCCTGCAACAGTGAGACAAAAGACTTGCTGCACACTGATGCATTTTTATACTTTATTTTTTTGGTAGGTGAAACTTCATCAGGTTAAGTGTGTACAGATTGCTACTTTATAAATTCTGGAACCTTCTTACAATATAGATTCATACACGATTTAATTCAATGATTATTGGAAAAACGGTTGCATACTGAGAGAGATGATTCGTTCGAAACAATTATCGGGGCAACTTTTAATTTGTTTGAAGTGGAGATATTAAAGCAAAAATGGACAGTTGATGCCTGTTGTGTGTAGTTTGCCCGAATTTGCGCCGAGAAATTGCTATTGGAGCAAAGTTTCTCTCTCCCGAAATGTATTTGAATGTTTTGTTTAAAAATGACACATGTCCAATTATTTTCAAGGTCAGTAGTGCAACCTATACTGAAATAAGTTTAGTTAGTTAAATAGATTCGTAAATTTCGTCAGTAATTGACAACCATAGACCTTCCAAGAAAGGACTCACACGGCCCAGCAGACGACTGGAAATAACAGCGTATGTGAGCATATGACACACAAGCACGCTCGAGTAAGATCTTAATTAATGCTGGTAGTGGAGGTAGAGCTGGTTAATTTCTACAGGCAATACCGAAGTATAAGTCGCTTAATAGTATTGGACATTATTAAATATATGCGTTTTCTTTGTCTTTGTGTCAATTTACTGTTATATTTAATGACATTTTGCACACTTGGTTATCAACACAAAAAGGTTTCCTTACATGAGATTTCGAACAAACTTTCCACATTTTCCTTTCCCACCTCGTAAATCAAAATGTGGCCGGTTTCTTTTTTTCGCAACTATTTCGAAAGCTGTGAAGAAATCCGTTAAATGGATGGCAATACCGTGCTAAGTGCCAAAAATGAAATTAGGACAAAATTAAGAAAAAAACTGTTTCAAAAGCCCGCGAAACTTGACTGATGCGACAATTTCAATCCCTAGGAATGAGAATTTCAGATAATCCATTTTACACCACGATTTTGAACATAAAATGCAAATTTTGACGTTGGAGACGCGCTCACCCTGCTGGCCCGGGATGCCGAGGCTTCCGTCGGCCGTCTGGTAGCTGGTGGCGCCGTAGCCGTTGTCGGGCCCCGCCAGCTCGTGCAGGCGCGTGCTGGAGAGCGCGCGCGGGAGGGGGTTGCTGGGGACGCCGTGCGGCGCCAGGTGCGCCGTCTCCTCCGCCACCTGGTGCGGGTCCTCGGCCGCCGGCAGCTCCGACACGAAGCCCGTGTCGCGCCGGTAGAAGTTGATGAAGACGAACGCGCCCAGCACCAGCAGGCAGCACACGCCGTAGCCGCGGAAGGTGGCCGTCGTGCCTGCGCACGCGCGCGCACACACAAATGACGATTTCAAACTCAAAGTGGTGAGGACGCTTGATACAGAATCCTAACGAACACTCGATCATGATACATGGAATTGTTTCTGACTGTGGCGGCAGGGTGTGCTGCTAACTCGATATACCAATGATGCGACATCATGTTAGTGGCATATATATATATATATATATATATATATATATATATATATATATATATAAAGTTATATTTGATATTATATATCACTGGTTCATGGGCAGCTCTACTCGAACAAATGAGATCAAGACGATGTGGCATATATGGGGACCTCACTCTATCGCCACAGTTCGAAACAACTTTCATTTCCAACAAATCTTCGTGCAAAAACTCTTTATACACTTCATACGCTATTTGATCACGCGTGTGATTTTCGCTTCGATGAGCAAAATCTCACTAATGACGCATTCACACTATCGATGTCATATGAGAGGAAATCAAAGGGGGAATGTCCGGTACATAAAGTATCGACAATCCAGTGTCTGTATTTATGGTGTTGAATGGATAATATCGTGGTATCGTCGCCAAAACTACAGTTCCGATGTCGGAAAAGTACTTTATTTGCTTGTAAGAAAACTATTATTCCGCTCGTTACATTTTAAGCGCATTCTTTATTCCGTTTAAATGCCTATTTTTCACTATTGGTTCAGAGAAAAAATTCTATAATCCACTTGTAAAGAAAAATAAAAAAAAATTGATATGAAATAAATGTGAGATGTTAACGTATAGTAATAATTAAAAATATCGATAATTAACAGGAAGATCATGTTCAGTTTTTAATTGCATTATTTCAATCGATATCGACGTATTGATACCTAATACATCGATGCATGTATAGCGATATTCCTCTCTATGCCTGAGTGACGAGTCGTTGGCGCAGAGTCAGAGGAAAGTTTAAAAGAGGTCCATCGGATTATTCTATTACACTCTGTAACAAAAACATATTTTGGGATATTTTTACATGATTCTTCGTATGGATATTTTTGTTCTCCTACGCACATAATGTCCCTTCATTAAATTATATTTACCAAAATTGATACGTTACTTTCAACATGCGTATTGCGTAATTTACTTTCGAAAAATTGTACATGATCGTATTTCAAGATCTGACTTTAAAGAACGGACTTCATTATGAAAAAAATCTGTATATTCACTTTAGTTGTAGGAAGACGCTGAAAAACATTTTGAAATTGAACGATTTTCTAAAATTCAGCGAGTTCAACGAAAATGAGACCTGACATTTTTAAACATCCTTTACTCTATCAGATGAAAAAGTGTAATAAAAACAATGGAACCGTTTTTAGAACATTTTGAAAATGTTATTTCGTGTAAAGTACCTTCAAAAATCAAAATGTTAGTTTCAAACTCGAGGGTCTGAAGTACATTCAGATCGTTCGGGAAATAGACATTTTAGAGAAGCATTGATCACAGATGGATAGGCAGAAAGACAGACATGCTGACGTTTAGCCATCAATCAATTTTTCGGTATCAAGACCCACAAAATCTGGATTATGACTACTCAACGCGCTCGAGGAATAATTAACTAAATATATAAACAATATCTACTGTTTTTGTTATTAGGGACTAACAATACATTTTTCTATCGAAAAATCGCCCGCAGCATTGCAAAACTTTCTCTATCGTGCGTGAGCAGTATACGAGAAAGTAAAATGGTGATTCGCCATTCAATTTGCAGCGCTATCAGAGACAGAGTGCGAAGGCCTCACCGAAGTAGTTGACGAAGATGCCCCCGATGACGGCACCGCAGCCGCGGCCCAGCCCGTGGTGGATGCCCTGCAGCACGCCCTGCGCCGACGAGCGCAGCTGCTGCGGGGTGTTGTGCGCGATGTACGAGCAGCACGCCGCCCACACCGCCGCGTGCGTGATGCCTGATACACACACCTTCGTCTATAATACTCGTCAAATTAAAGCCATAACAATACATACGAAACGCCCCAAGCATCTCAAAAGGTTGATCGATTTTCTTACCACTTCTGCCTCCTGGACAATCATAAACATTGACTCACTATCTTAGGGAGCAGTATACATCGATCGCTATGTCGATGTCCAATAACTGCGTATGTACTATAACATAACCGCTTTGGTTTTAACATAGCTCTTAGTTATTTTCAGTATTTGACGCACTTTGGAACTATTGGACATAATTTCATTCGTGGAATAGTTCTATTAGATATACTATCACTCGTGCTTTGGAAATTCTCAGATTAATCTCTTTGCTTTGCGAGTAGGGGTTTCTCGACAATTTACGAAACACTTGTGGGACTATTCCATCCCGTATATAATAATTTATCGTATTTGTACGATAATTACTGCAACCACGGCACTGAATCTCACATCTTTTGGCTGCACTAGAATCAACTACATGGACCCTCATTCACAACATCAATTTTGTTTATTTTAAATTGTGAATACCGAGTAATTATTTATATAATTTACATTACATCGAAATTCTTTCTAAACAATCGTAGTCTTCGAGGTAAGGTCTCAAAATCTTCGAGTCGAGGTTAAGCTGTGGCATTAATGTATCGCCATATTGAGAAATGAGCACGACGATTGCTGGCGCGGTGGCGTCATGAGCGCTTACCCTGCATGAACTCGAAGGGGAGCACCCACCAGGGGTTCCTGAGGTACGAAATGTAGAGGAAGCGCAGCACGTTGCCCACCAGCCCCAGGCACAGCACCTTCACGTGGCCCATCTGGCGGATGAGGCGGAAGCTGAAGAAGTAGGCGAAGATCTCGCTGATGTGATTGATGACCGACGCCACGCCGAACAGCGTGGGCGACCCGCCGTAGTCCTGCACGACGCACACACAAAACTCGTTTCAAATTAAAGGTTAAAACGAATTAAACGTACATTAACATTAAAACATTTTAATCATGACATGAGAACGTGTCAAAAATCATTCTGGTTTCGGTTAATAAAATATTGCAATTCCTGTTTTTAAAAAACAAATTTTCCACTTTCGGTATTCAAATGGTTTTTCCATCTTCTTTCTTGAATTTTTTTTATTGATTTAATACATCATTTACAAGCGTAACGCCACATCACTATTGTACCGATGCGAGCTCTATTAAAATAGAACAAATTTTAATAACGTATTTGTGAGTAACGTCGTTCATAGTTAGACCTATACAATTAATTCTAGTTAATTGTTATTATAGTAAGGAAACTAAGTGCAAATAACATTCACACTATGTACCCCTTCGTGAAGTAAGATTGCATGAAATTGAAGATCTTTAAAAACCGAAAGAAATACATCAATAACGTTTTTAACCACATATTTAATAGTCGGTTTCGGTCTTACTACTGAAACTGTGTTTAATGGCTTCAGTTTTAATGTCTTGCTTTTGATAAAGTTATTTTTGTTTCATTTACTTGAGAAGTTGTGTGGACAACACACTCAAAATCGTTTGGCACACTTATTACAATTGGAATTTCGAAAAACGAATTGGAAGTTCGAAGTTTTGTTTCATCTCATTTGTGTAAATGGTGCCCCAAAACAAACAGCATCAATATTGTAGTTTTGCGATGTTAATTTTTTGCAACTTTCAAAATTACGGAGAGTTTGCCGTAAATAAACTCAACGCTACTTCCTTTACTGTTCTTTGACACAAATTGGAGTACTTTTTGAGAAAATAATTGTCTAAAATTGTCTCTACAATTGTCACCTATAATTGTCAAATATTGCCTAAAATTACCCCAAAACTACTCATATTTTCGAAAAATTGTACTTAACTTAATTTGTAGATATATTTGTGACGAATTATATTTTTAAGAGAAAATATTTATCTTCAATATTGTAGTTATAGGAGGACGCTGTACATTTTAGAATTTTTGTAGTTTTCTAACATTCAGAGAATTCAACGAAAATACGACATGCCCCATTACCCTCTACCCAAGGGAAAAAATTAGCAATTAAATTTAGAGCTATTTTTGACAAAATTATGAAAATGTTTTTGAAACTTCATGCAAAGTACCCTCAAAAACCAAAATATTCGCTTCAAATGTAAGAGGGAGTGTCATAAGCCAAATCGATAGGCAAATATCAATTTTGGCGAAATTCTGCATACGGTTTATCTGCTAGCGTTGTCTGCAGATGTACGGACAGAAATTTTGCCGTAGACCAAATTTTCTGTTTGAAGAACTCACAAAACGTGAATTCTGACCACACAGTATGTTAAGACGGAGTAATTTACTTCATATTGGTACAAGATTTATCCAACTAAGGCCCATTCATAATGCAAACATAAATATAGGCATGGCGTTAACATAAAATTAGAACTACGTTCATTAACCTATTCATTCATCATGCGTTTGCTTAAGACATGTAAGACGTTAACTTAAAAGCTTCAAGCCTCTGTGCTTATGCTTAAGTAAGACGTACGAAGTGGACCACTCACAGTACGTAAACTCGAAATCGAGTATCGAAGTCGATAGACCAACTAACGCCACACGGGCCATGGATTCAGTCGATACAGCCATGGGCCATGGATTCAGCCAATAGTAAACTAGAATATCTCACAGCCAACAGAAAATCTTATTTTGCTTACGTTTATGTTAGACATTGTGAATACTTCAGTCTATCACGTACGTTAATGTTTACGTCTGTGCGCTACGCTTATGTTCACATTTGGATTGTGAATGGACCTTTATGCTGTATCAGGAGAGTTTTCCTGTCGAAAAAATGGCTGATTTTCCCGCATCATTAAAATACTTTCTGTATTTTGTAAAAGCAGTATGCGAGAAAGTAAAAAGACAAATGGTTTAGGAAAAATTAGACCAACAAATTGGATTACTATCAGAATATAAAAACTTGTGCACAATATAAGGATTTGTGGCTTCTATGACTGTGAGAAGGTGTTTATAATACAATGAAAAGTTAAAAATTTTCCAAAATTTAGAAACATTGGAAGGCGTTATATGTCAAGATGGTGTGCACGTGAGTGGTGAAGCGCTAGATCACAATCAATGATGACATGGAAAATCACTTCGGTCACGTGAATTGTGAACGGTTCGTTCGGTAATTTGTGTACTTTTTAAACTGTCATTTAATAGTTTGTACATAATTATTATTGATGTTATTTTCAGAATTTTCTATAATTCATGAATTGAGTAAGCATTTGTTGTGTGAGCCTCGAGCGGATGGGAGGGAGGGGGCAGCGTTGGATCGCGCTCACCTGCAAGTGCCAGAAGAGGAAGGTGAAGATGAGCCCGATGCCGAAGCCCATGAACCAGGCGACGAAGAGAAAGGAGCCGCACTTGAGGTTGGCGAACTGCTTCATCACCGTCACCCACTCGGGCATCTCCCGCGTCGTCTGCGCGAACATCTTCGTCTGCAGCAGAGAAGCGCATTCTGAAGACCACCCACAGCACTCAGAGGTGTTGGATACATAACCCAAAATATTGGTCTTTACCCTAATACAACTGGCAATTGTTTGTCTATGTCGCGCAGGGCCGGAAACATCACCAGTCACTTTACCAACAACGCAACGCCTTCATTCGAACGTACAGTTTGGTGAATATCGTTCTCCTATTGTAGATTGACTAATAGCTAATGTTATGTCACTTTCCAAAAATACCATCTCAAACTCTAATATGTAGTCCACAAATTAATGTTTCCTTGAAATTCCTTCACCGAAGTTATTGTACAATAAAGGAAACTTGATGGGTTGCAAGAGGACAAGACTTATAAATTGGAAACGGATATTCATGTATATAAATATTTTTATAGGAACAAGCATTCAATAATATCTTTTAGTAGTTAAAAGATATTGTAAGTGAATTAGATATTTTTTATTTTACGTATTTGTACGTATTGTGGTATAATTGCATATTTTCACTACATATTTCGGTACATTTTAACGTATTAATGCCTCGAATATTTCAGATACGAGTTTATATTGTAAAATATATGCTTTCTTACAAAGCAATGTAACGCTACTGCACCTTTATGTCCACCGGACCTTTGCCAAAAATTATTATCCCCCTTTGCTTCTTAAAAATCTCGCACTCGGAATCAAGGATGAGCGAACGTAGTTTCATCTACGTGCTCGCTCATGTCATTGAGCCCGTACGGAACTAGTTTGTAATCAAAGAAAAACTGTTTAAAAAATGAGTAAGAACACGAACATTTAATCCCATTATTCATTATTTATTCCGTGCGCATCAACTGATAAGTTCATTTGTCTCGTAAGTGTAGCGTTTGTTTTTCGCTGGGGGTGGCGGTGAACTTTCCTCGCTGGACGGGGAGGTCCGGCGCCGATCGACGTCGACTTACGGGGATTTTCCTCAACCAGGTGTCTCCCACCAAAGGAGCACCGCTCCAGTCGGGACAAGTCCAGTCGGTCCTCTGCTCTCCCAGCATGTGTGTAAGGGGTTAGGTATAGGACAAGAAAGAGGAAGGAAAGATCGCACACGGTCCGTGGCCCGTTTGTTAAGGTACTGCTCCGGCCTTCGCGTGGTGTCGCTCGGAGAAACCACGAAAAACTCCCGATCAGAGCAGCCGGCCTCTAGGTTTGTGCAGACAGCGGTTGAATTGGACCTCGCTGTGCAGCTAACGTCCAGAATCGTGCGAGTGCAGGACTTTCCGGTCGGAGGCCCTGAACCATGCATTACCTTTCCGACGAGCGGCGCGGGGGCGGCGGTGGTGGCCGGCGGCTGCGCGAGCTGCGGGAGGTCGAGCTGCTGCGCCAGCTGCGCCTGCAGGGCCTCCTCGCGCGTCTTCTCGGGGTCGGGCGGGGGCGGCTGCGCGGCCGCCGCCAACTCCTCCGGCCCCGGCACGTCGTACCGGAACTGGATCTGACACACACACACACATCCATTCTTACAACAACAAATTACACGACTTGAAAAATGCATTTCATTATTATTATTATTATTATTATTATTATTATTATTATTATTATTATTATTATTATTATTGTCCCCAAAGGCCCCCAAAAGGTGGTCGGATTTTATTGCTATTGGCCACTAGTATGTAAACACTCCGTGTGTTAACGAAAGTAGGGTAAAATTTAATTATCTTCTGAGATTCCATTCTCATATTTTGTCTCGGTCATATTTTACTATGTAGTAGATGCATCCCAAGTATTCAATTGGTTTTATTACATCGCTTTATGAGATGATGTGTTTCTTAAAACGCCTAATATTTACAGGATTAAGATATATATTTTTAGAAAGCTATTAGTAAATGCTGTTACTTTTAGTCCTCACAGCGTGCTGAAAGTTCAATATTTAGCACAACTACTAAAAGTGAGACGATGCTCAAATGTTAGTAAAAATTTGGATGGCGTAATGCATTATAATACCCAATTAAGTGCTTTGTATGCTTAAAAATGAAAATCAAAAAGGCTGTCTTAAAAGTAGTGTATGACATAACAACAAAGTGTTTTTATTTTGCTCGTAGGATTGCACTAGTTTGCCTATTATCTCCTTGTCGCAAACTTTCCTACTCTCAAAATACTCTTAGAATGTCACTTTTATCACTCATTATGAATACGGTTTACTATTTCATTAGTATGTTTATGGACGTGGAACAAAGCTCGTAATAATGTTATATTTAATATCCTTGCAGGCTTTATAAAATACAGTTTTGTATTCCCAAAGGGCGTTCCTTGATGCTTTTGCCTTCTCGTGGCATTCAACCCTTCGGGTCAGAGGCCTTCGGAGCAAAAATATCTACTTAACGTCCTAAAGGAATATACTTAAATACTATATTCTTTTACCGTAATATATTTAATAATGTAAGCAATTGCAAGCATTTAAAAAATATAAATACGTATTTTGAAAGTCCCACGACTTAATGTAAAACTACTTCTAGTTGAACTAGTAGAAATATTTAAAAAATATCATTTAATATTTATATAATAATAATAATAATAATAATAATAATAATAATTTGTTAATTTACATATTCAAATTGAAATTAACATATAACTTGCATAGTTATTGCCATAAATAAATTCATTTCAAACTTCAAACTTTCAAAATTAACTTCTCCTTAAATATTACTTTTTGTAGCCGTCCTTGTCTTCAGAGTTAGTTTTGATAACTGCGAAATATATTAATAATTTGTTGTTACAATTACAACTACATTTTTATGAAAATTACAATAATAAACATCTGCACCCGTTATAAAATGTTCATCTGTGAAAGCAAACCGACATGATACAATTGCATCCGTTTGCAACGTTGACGAAAGTTACAGCGGTGTTATTGAATGCTGGAAATGGAAGTGTTAGGTCGAAGCAGTTGTGATTATGTGAATCATTCATGCGAGTTTTGGATTACACAAGTGATTTCTTCTCAATTCTTTTGTGATATCTGAAGTTCGTATCACTCAGTGTAAGCTTTCTGTTGGCATGTTGTCCCGTTATACGACAGTGTACAACGGGTTGCTTATTCAGAAACATAAAAGAAGGCGGCCAGACAACTGAGCCATAAAATTCCATCTTTTAAGAGACCTCGCAGTTAATACAATTTCATAAAGTTATAGAAATAAAGAAAATATATACGACGGAACATTTCGGAAGGGAGAAGGGAAGATCTAAGTGTTCAAAAGCAGAAGGGCAGTAAATACATTACTGATGACAGAAAGAATTATGATGAATTATGCCAAGAAAGCAATTATTATTCAGGTTGTTGCAATTGACTTTACACAATACGATTTAGTTTGGGAAGAAACCTGTCTCTTCATTCCTTAACGATAATGATAGTACCACATTAGGGATACGTGTCAATTTAATTTAACCGAATCGGGGTGACTGCGTTCCCAGCTCGAGAGCCGTCTGACTCCCGCCCGTCAGTTGATCTCCGAAGAGGGCGGCCACGCTCTGGCGAGGACCGCCCTCACACCTGCAGCACACCCGAGCACGCGCGCGCGGTGCGAAGAGGAGCCGAGGGCACCGACCTGCGTGGCGGTGATGAGCGCGGCGCCCATGAGCACGGAGAAGGTGGCAAAGCAGATGGTGTAGTTCTTCTCGTGCGCGTCGGGCCCGCAGGGGTGGCCCGGGAAGGCGGTGGAGTGGTCCAGAGCGATGCCCACGAAGAACATGGCCAGCCCCCAGCCCAGCGACCCGAACATGCGCTGGTGGCCATAGCGGTCCGCGTCCTCGCCTAGCAGCGTGATCACCGCCGAGTCCGCCAGGGTGATGGCCGGCGCCGAGAAGAACTCGCCGATGATCACCAGCAGAAGCAGCAGGAAGAAGGCCTTCTCGATGTCCTGTGGCGCAAGAGAATATCGCACGTTAATAATCATCTAGGAGCTGTTGCATGCTTAAGTACCCCTGAACGACATGACGAAAGCTTATTTGTTCAAACAACAGGTGCTACACAGACTTTCACTCACTAGTTATTTTTCTAATCTCTTTTAGCTATGCTAGCTTTTCGGCATTGCCTCCCCTCTTCATAGCTTCTATCTATAAACACCAGAACATTTGTTCACATTTTCTCCATTTTTTTGTCCCTTAATGAAAGATGACTTCAAGAAATTTTCATGTCCAACACCTACAAAACGTGGATTCTGAGGCATGTTAGAAGAAGTAATTTCTACATACAGCAACAAGAATTATCCTATCTTTCTGTGTCAATGATCGATGATACGAATTTTTCTCTAGAACAATTGCCGAGTTTCGGTGCAACATTACTTAAGTTTCTGTATTCTACGTATGTAGTATTCAAGAAAGTAAAATTCTAGTTAAAGTGAATACCGTAGAAGATGTAGACATTCCCAAACGTTTTTCTATCGAAGTGAAGTCAGTATGTTTTTAATTGTTAGCCGATGAGTCATGTACTCAATAAAAGTATTTTTGGTGGACCCCTTTTTTTGTAGTAGTTCAACAGTAAGAAGTTTCACTAAGTAGGTGGATTGCAGACCAATGAAAATCAAAGGGTTTAATTAAACTATTGATATTTGAATATTTGCGTCGTAATGTCTATGATTGTTGAACCGATTAATATGGGTAGTAAGGAATGGGTATTTAAAATAATATTGACTGTGTATCAGAAACAATGGCACAAACGAAGAGGACAGGCGGGGGAAGGTACAGGGAAGCCGTTTTTTTTACTGCCCCCTGGGCGCTGGGCGGTGCACTCACCTAGTCATACGGTAGGCTCTTTTTCAGGCGCAGTGGCGTTGGATTTAATGCCAGAAATATTGCTATAGGAGTTGGTAAAGAGTGTTACATTTTTGGAGAACTGGTGAAGAGATGCTGGAAAATGAATAGTTACTGTTGATTATTTCATTTAATTTTAATTGAAGACTCATTCATCATTTTGATGAGTCATCATTTTGAGAACATTTAAGTTAACGCTGAAAACATTAATTTTGAGTGACCTCCTCCTAAAGCGTGACACTCTTTGCCAATTTGTACTCCAAGGTATTTTGACACAATGACGTCCAGAACGGCTAGCATCTTTACCCCTCCCCGTCTCTCTTTCTTTCTCCACCCTTTGCGATTGGGTTTTTATTGTGAAACTTCCTACATAGTTGTGTATGGGCATAATACTCCCAGACCTATTAGTCCTTAAAATTAATAAACATGAAAATGGCGCATGGAACAAATTGGCGTCAAGCGTCATTTCAGCCGTGAGTTCTACTTAACACACTACTACGGCGGTTATTTTGGCCAGTATGATCTTGAAGAACGTTTGAATGTACCCACTTCCTCTTCGCTTCATTTAGCAATTTCCCGCCAGAGAATTTCGCATGCAAATGTTCATTGATCTATTCAAACGCAAAGCAAAAGCGAGCGCATTCCTTTGTTCGCCCGCGGAGAGCAGAGGAGTGGCCTCGGTCGCTGCCCTGCCGCCCAGGCGCTCTTTTTGCTCTCCCGCATCACCCGCGCTGCTGACGGCGCGCATAAATCAATAGAGCTTCCCGCTAGCTAGGATCCAGGAGCTCTGTCTCATTAACGATTCTTACATGAACGTGTTTCCTTCTCCGCTTCATTTCATTCGGAAATTTCTATTGGACGTGGTTCTGTGAATGTTGCTGCCTATTCTGTTATTTCTCTCCTTAATTTTTGTATCTCAAAAAAAGAAGTTCTAAAGATTTGAATGAATATTCATGTTGTGTGTAAGGGGGATCTGATAACAGGAAACATTTCTGGTGGTCTTTTAGCGTGTTCCTTTATTGTACGCTCGCATGGCTGTCCATGCGACTGACTGCGTCTCTCTACCGGGCATTTCGTCTGTCTCACCCTACTAAGTTTGAGAAATACAAAATGGTTCAAATTGAGATACTGAAAATTTTACAATAAACTTCAATTTTTTAACGAATACTTTATATGGAAGTCTTACTACATTTTACATTCTCGTGAACTAGTATAGGCGGAATATAATTGTGGTATAACAAAAATTATGTAATGGTGAAAAAAATAGGTATGTATTTTGTACTTCGGCACAAGAGCTCTTTACGAGCTAAGGCCTACCAGCAGCGTCCCGGCCTTGTGATCATCCGTTAAGAAGTACAGCACATAGCCATTGAAAAATATAGGTGTAGAGATTTTTCACGGAAGTGCATGTTTCCTTTGGGGGATGTAATATTCATAAAAAGTGTTTTATTTCAAAACCTTCTGTTTGTCTTCATTAGTCCCTGTCCACAACACTATTATCAGAATTGTACACTACGTTTCTCAAAAATAATTTCCTAATCTGGTCAAATTGCGAATTTGTAACGTATATTGCACGATATTATTTCTGGAGATAGCTGAAGTAAGGATAAAAGTCGTAATATTCTAATATTTCGTTACTGTTGCAAATAATACGAAAAAGTACGTGCTGTTGTAGCGCTACTAATTTCAATTGTTTTTTGAAGGGGATCTCAAAACAAAAAAATTGGCAATAAAAATTATCGCAAACGTTTCCGCAATTTCGTGAATGAGATTTGTGAGACTAAGAACATTGCAATTAATCTATTCAAGGTTCTTAAAGATTTCCGATGAAGTTACGGGAGATTACAATGGCTGATAGATTAAAAGTTCTTGAATTGCTATCGAGAGCTAACGAAACAAAGTTTAGTGATCTATAACTCGCACTTTCTCATAAAAGAAAGAATTACGATGAAAAAAAAACAATATTAAACGAAAATTCTTCTAAGGTGAAAAAAAACAGCAGATTGTCCTTTTCCTCCAATAACCATTTTATGGGTAATTGTGAAGCGGCGGTATCGTGGGGCGACTAACATTTATTATGTCGCTTCTCTGGACGGGGGAGCTTTTACGGTCTTCGAGACATAACTGGCGATATAAAATATCGAGTCCAAGGTTTCATAAGCACGTGCGGCAAGTGCGACTGGGGTCATAACGTTTTGGCCAACGGCTATGCTACTTTTGTCTATTGCGACAATGCTTAACTAGAAAGAAGGCAACACTTGTGCTAATATTTGGTTTCCAGTTTTCTTTACGCATGTGTACTTTTTAGCACGGGAGAGCGTTTTTATAAGTTTGTTGTTCCCAAATAAATCATCGAGTTTAGCGTGGGTAAAGTTGCCTTTCAGTATGATAACTCATTTTTTGTTGTTGTTTTTTGTTTATTTGTTTTTTCTTTGCTTATGACCTAATAGACCGAAGAAAATATTGAATTAAAAATATAAAATATTAATAATGACGTTCATCTTGCCGGATGGTCAGAGCCTGGTTCTGCCTGCCCGGCTCGACCGGCTTCAATAACCGACCTCCAGTCCCGCCCACCTCATCCCTCCCTGCTCGGTCCCCGCGCTTGACCCCGCTCTCGGCCCACGCTCTAGGCCCCCCTCTCTCTGCCCCAATCTCTGCCCCGTTCTCTGCCCCACTCACTGCCCCGTTTTCAGCCCCGCTTTCTGCCCAGCTCTCTGCCCCGCTCTCGGCCCCGCTCTCGGCCCCGCTCGGCTCCACCCGGACGCGCGGTGCGTGGCGATGCCTAACAGCGATTCGCTTTGAATAATTGCCTTTAACAAACACTTCGACAACACCCATGTTTTGTTGGCTCCTCCAAAGTGCTCAAAATTCGGGAGCAGTGGCTTGAGTGGCTCAAAAGATATTATGATACAAAGAGCATCCCTGTTGAAGATTTATTGGGTTTGGCTGCTCACCTGCGTTCGGTACACCATGGAGGAGAAGAGCGGCGAGACGAAGCTGGCGTGCTGCTGCTCGTTGTAGTTGCTGGCGTAGCCCACGCCAATGGGGCTCTGGCCGGCCGTCAGCTGCAGGGAGCGGCGCTCTCGTCTGAGGCCGCCCGCGCCGCCCACGCCGCCCGCACCGCCCCCGTCGGCGCTGGTGGCCGTGCCGGTGCCGGTGGCGGTCCCGCCGCTGGAGGCCAACTCCAGCTCCAGTTCCTCCGGAAGCGGCACCAGCAGCAGCTCCGCCGGGGGCCCTGAGGAGCACAAACCACGCGAGGACCGTCAGGCATGCTTGCTTCCCATGCCCAAAGGCCCGGGGCAAGCGCTTGCCGTAACAGCTTGTTTAAAATGTCGCAGTCGCTGGGGCTGGGACTTAGGGAAGTTGGTGGGAGGGGGGGTGCCGTTGATGGCGGGTAATGGCATTTCTGCTGGGAAATGAGTTACTCTCAGAGCAAGTGAGTGTTTCGACTCTAGCTGGGTGGGTGGGGAAAGCTAAAGCAAACTTAATTTCCTTCAAATTGCCTCCTACTCCTAATTGTTATGAAATCCCACCAATTTTCATTTCGAGATTAGACAGATACACCCATCATGCATAGGTTCAAAAGACTAGGTGCCATTGATTTGTAGACTTTTTTTGTTCTTATTGCAAAATCATATATCTTCGCAGAAAAACAAACATCGGTGGTGGATGTGACCAACCCAGGAAATTTCAGAGGAGATCGGTAGGAGTTATCGAGATCTCTAGAGAAATACTGCAAACGAAACGGCCTCAGTAGTAATTGTCGCTGTAAAATCCAGGTGGTTTAACGAAATACCTGAGCTCGTTAAACCTTTGCTACGATATACACACAACCGCACGAATTAAGAAGAACCTAAGAACCTAAGAACCCTAAGAACCATTTAAGTGCTGCGTAGGTGCCCCGGAAATTCATAGATCATTACGAAGCAGATGAAATCAGGGAAAAACAGTCAGTGTAAGCTCTAAGAAAGGCGATTAATTTTATTAGTGTTATTAATCATAATTATAATTATTATATTGTTAATAATAATAATAATAATAATAATAATAAATTGAAAATTCTGAAGAGATACCGGAGCAGTGATTTACTAAATGCCAAGAGAAATTATAGTTTCAAGTTAACCAATATGATTCTATTTATATTGAATATCTCCTTTTGTGATAATATTTAGAAAGGAAATGAATACAAGCAAAATGTTGGGAAAACGTACAAACATGTATTTTGCATAATTTGTTTGGGAGATGACTGAACAGACTCAGGATTGAAAAGTCAAATATACTAGTTCAACAGCGGTTAGGCTCATGATTGACTGTTACGATCAGTCTTTTTGCTGACCACTTCCAGGCGAACGTCGGGAACACAGCAGAACCCCGCCAGCGCGCAAGCCTTCTACCCATCATGCCAGTCTCCTGCGCTGCAGTTCTCCGCATCCCACCATCGTATGGCTTCTCCATCCACGTGGATGTAGGGAGGAGATCGATACAAAGAAACCGTCAGAGATCCACAGTTCAGTGTCACCTTGAGCATGCATGTTTGTGTGTGTGTTGTCCTTAGGTGTTCCCTCTACAGTTACCAATCACAGCAAAAACGACCACAGTATTCGCTAAATGACTTAGAAGTTAAAATGCGACCAAAAAGATGAGCAACAAACAACCACGGCAACTGTTGGTTCTTCCCGCGTCACCGTCCGCTGTCGGGAGCAGAGGGAGCGCAGGTGAGAGGGCGCGCGGGGCTCTCTGCGGCGGGCCCACGGGGTCATCGATCCGCTGCCGGTGCAGCTGGTCGCCGTGTGGCGCAGCGCAGGAAGCCATTTTCCCTCGCCTCAGGTGCTGCTTGCGCTCGCTCGCCGCGCCCGCTAAATGGGACTAGGGCCCATGTTTCGTGAGCTAGGGGGGCCTAGGGTTGATGGATTTTGTGCAACAGATAAACAGCTGTCCGTCCGACCATCTGCCCTTCTGTCTGTCTACAGCGATACGTGGTATAGTGGTCAGACCGTTCAAATCCGAGAAGAATTTGTCCATTCCAGGGAAGTGTCCTCGGGGTCCCCCGGCCTCACATTTTACCATTACTCCATCTTTCACATCATAACGTTGTAATCACTAAATCCTCATAATCATTAGATCACTCTGGATACGTCAAGTATTTTCTTGCATTATTTCTAACTTACGCAATTTTCGAAAATTCAGAGATTTCAAAGAAAATGAGAGAATTGTTATAAAATATTTTCAGCCACTGTTAGAAAATGTGAAAATGTTGAGGTTTCATCTAAACTCAAAATGTCAGTTTCAAACTGGGAGAGTCTCACGTTCGTTCAGAACATTAAGTGATTATTCATTTTGGAGGAAGTCGTCTTTGCCGTTTAGGCGCTAGCATTGATCAGAAATGGACAGACGGACGTTGTGCCATCAATCCATTTTTCGATATCAAGAACAAACAAAAAAGGAATCTGACTACACAATTTTCTGTATGCTACATTAAATGGCATACACTTCCCACTTTAAGTCGCGGTAACTAAGTAATTACTAGGCATTTTAGGATCCTCTGAGTTCCCTAGACTTCCTCATGGGACCATGAAGTTCCTTTCCTGCATTTACTGCCAGCAATGCCAAATTGCTCCATCGTAATTTACAAATTCTGTGTAGAGTTTAATAGACTTCTTAGAGCAAGTAACGAGATAGTCGGTAGATCGCCTCGAGACGTGATCCCCAGGGTCTTGAGGGCATTGACTGTGGATCTTGTCATAGCCCCAGAGGTTCCAACCACCACTGGCAGGATTCTGGCGTTGGGCACTACATGAACTTGGGCTGCCAGGGGGATGACTGGTTGGTATTGTACCACCTTTTCCTCCCCTGCTTCCAGAAGGCTAGACCCATACTCGTGGCGGACAGTCACATCGACCACGAGGACCGCTTCCCGATTTTTATTACCAGGTCAGGTTTGAGTCCAAACCCTTTGGAAATGGAGAAAGTGGCTCCCGTACACTCCATGGTGTCCCACTTCCGGAGCACCTTCCATTCTATGAAGTTTTTGACCTCGTTATGACGCGTTATTCTTGCTGGATTCCCAAAAATGTGTGTGTTTGTGTTTCACTCGCACCACGACGACGTTACACGATTGAACTAAATGAGACTACATTATTCCGGCTGCACTTATAAGCGTTTTCCGTATTTTTCTTCCCATAAATTTGAAGTGGATACGGGAAATTCATGTTGCGATGAACTGCCATGACCGCATGGCTTACTCCCCACGACCACGCCGCGAGTATACGACTGCGACCAGAATTCGTCCTTAAAACGTTAAAAGAATTGAATTATTTGACAAAGTCATTAAACAGGTTCCTCAACATACAAGTGCCTTCCGCCCCCCCCCCGTGATGATGTACGCGAGCATGGCCAACTGGAGCCTTTTTTCTCGGCCTCGTGCCAGAAGGCCATTTAGGCTGACAGCACGGAAAACAACTGCCTTCGAGCCCTCCCCCCCCTCCCCCATGGGGTGATGGCCGGCCGTCGCCAAAGCCGCGAAGATAGCCTCCAAACCCCACTCCCGAAGAATAAACAGCGGGCCGGGCGGAACGCTTGCAAAAGGAATGAAACGGCTCGGGAAGCGGAGCTTTCTGCACCGCCCCTGCTCCCCGCTCCGCCCCATCCCTTCACTCTCCCAAAGCGCCTCCTCCGGATCCGTCATCGCACGCGCTTGCCTCCCCGCCCCTTGCGCGCCTCCTTCCCACGCTTCTTTCAAACGTCTCCGAGTTCGCATTCGAAAAATAATAAAAAGGAGGAATATTGTTAAAATGTTTGTTTACAGCTGTATTTTCAAATATTTAGTAAATTAAAATGATTTTGTAAAAACTTTATTATTTTTAATGCCCCCAATATTTTCAGCGGTGGAGGCAGGGCGAGGGCGTCGGCGGAGGCGAGGGTGATGGCGCGAGCGGGGCGAACACCGAGACTAGGGCACGGGCGGGGGCGGGGAGGCGCCTGTGACGTCGCCCCTGCGGGCGGTCCCCTCCTCAGCGGGAGCGAGCCCTCTCCCCCAGCCCAACGCCCGGCGCGGCGGGGCCTATCGACTGCTCCGCTCCGGGCAGCGCCCAAGGAATCGCCGAAGCTGCACACTTGATTCTTACCCAAAGGGGCTTAATCATTACAAATCGCTATGTCACTGGTTGACAACTGAATTCTACTATTCTCTTCCACGTATGTTAGCGTATGTATATATATAGCTTACATGTCGTTATTAGCAGAATAAACATACTTGAAAAGAATAGTTGACGTTTGTTTTTTCGCTTTTTCAGTAACCGGACAGAAATCTCTGAGCTGCACCCATTAATCGCTTGTGTTTATCTTAGAAACGTATATTTTAAATTAATATTAAATTATTTCTTGACTGGTCTGCATTATCCTTCTCTCCGCTCGTGGGCAGAGTGAATGCCAAAATGTCTTCAATTACGATAGCGCGGTTTCTATACAACGCCACTATCTGTGTGTCTTACATCTTCCCTTTTCCAACTACGTGTTCAAACAATTCATTTAATGTGTATCCTTTCGGAAGTTCGAAGTAGATCGCCTCTTACCAAAATAGCATCTATGGAATCTAATGCAAAACTTCTTTTTCAAAAAACGAAATAAGTTGTTTTAGAGATTTTACAGTCACGCAAGATAAATGTGAAGAATATTGTTATTTGATGTGTATATATTAAACTCTTTGCTTTAATTGTGGCCAAGTTTCGTTAATAGATTACGACCTTAAAGAACAAATACACATCAAATTTGTAATTTTTGTACTCGAAGATGTCTATGATCGAAACGTAGCTACTACTAATATTAAAATATTGTTAGATCTCTTCAAAAAAATTATCAAAAATATAATTTTTAGATTTGAATTCCTTGTCGATAGCATTAATAATTGATATCTTTGGTAGATTATATCCAGTGTAGTTTCGAGTTCACAAACGAATGGGAGAACCTAGCCTTGTGTGTAGCGGAATTTCAAATGTGGCTAGCTAAGAAGAGGTAATGATGCCTTTGTCAAATGCAAATTCTGGTAGCCTACTACTCTGATTAGTCTTTCCCGTGCTCTCCTCGTTGCCACAGCAGATGCCAGAACCGCAGCCCATGCTCCACTCTTCTTTTCCATATATTAACTCACATCCTACGGAACATCGCGAAGAATATCGGCAGAGCCCAGAGATGTAATTAGTTTTGATTTATATTTAATTCTACAATTACAACTTGGAACTATGTAGCAGAATACATTAAATCTACATTCATTAAGCCTACGTTTACTAACAATAAAATACTTTACAAAATAACGAATAACAAAATATTGACTTTACAATTGACACATGTTAACACAGTGGAGAAGTTGGGAGACATTTAACAATGATTTTTATTCATATTTGCCTTTGCCTTCAGAGAGAAAGTTACATTTTGCTAACAAAAGTATTATTTTTCCCTCTATATTATTTTGATTTCTTAATTTGATTAATTGCTTAGTAGGAACATGGAAATTTCGTTCATACAAATGATCCAGACCTTCCCTTCAGTACATTAGAGCCAATAATGATTGAACCACAAAATCAAACGTTTTAAGTGTAAAATGTTACTCAGTGTTTCGCGGCGTATTGCCAATTTCCATTTTTAAATTATGAATGTGGATAATTATGATTTAAAAATCTTGCTATAAAGGCAATAAACAGGAGTTGTATTGATTCGAAACAAATTAGATGCTTTTTTATGAATGAGAATTTATCGACACGACAGCGAACCAGAGGAACTGTAGCTTTATATTGGGTAGTAGTGCGAAAAATGGTAGAACGAAATGAACATGGAAGAGATGAAGAAAGAGAGGAAAAAATAGGAGAAAGGGAGGAAAAGAGAAAGAGAAAAAATAATAATAAAGAGAATTAGGAGAAAAAGAAGGAATATATGAAAAAAGAAAAGAGTAAGACGGAAAATGGGAAGAGCAAAAAGAAGAAGAAGAGCTAGAAGAAGAACAAGAAGAAGAGGAGGAGCTAGAGGAGAGAAGCGTGCTCACCGCCGGGCGGGACGCTGCGCTTCTCGACGATGGCGTTGTCGACGTGCGTGCCGGCCAGCACCCACGAGTGGTTGGCGCGCTGGATGCAGCTGACGGCGGGCGGCTGGATGAAGCCCAGCGGCAGCGTGAACAGGATCCACGCGCCCAGCGACGCCAGCAGCATCGTCTTGCCCTTCTGCCACCTGCGCACGTCACAAGAACAGTCTCAACTCAAACAAACACAATTAAGCAACTCGGGAAAAAAGCATGGCAGCGGAAACTGTAAATTAGAACGAAAACAACATAACCTATTTTACTTCTTTTGAAATGACAGTTCTGTTGTAAGTCGCCTTCAATCCTGTATCTGCGAAAACATCTTAAATTTAAAAAAATGTTATCGATGGGTGGACATTATGTGTTAACCGGTGCATTCATGTGTGAACTCGCCTTCTAGACAGGAAATTCAATGTGCTTCTGTCAAGATCACTCCAAAAGTTCTCCAGTCCCAGTGAATGCAGACCATAATGTACGGTGCGATTCTCCTGATTTCAGAATTCTACATATTTCTGAATGTGCGAAATTGCGTATTGTGCGAAAAATGTTTGAAATTAAAAGTTAATATTTTTACGGGGCTGTGGACTTGCAAAACACTTGTTTATTCGACTATATATTTACAAGAAATTTGTGTAGAGTGAAATGAGAAGACATTGGTAGGTGATAAAAAGAGAAAAAGAAATTTAATAGCTACTGTTTTGACAGTGCATATTTACCAATGCTTTCTGAAGAAATGATTTTTATCATATGGTATTTCGTGCAAATTTTCACTTAATGTGCGGAAAATTGGAAGAGTATGAAATTGGTCGGAATTCTATATGTTTGGCGCATTCTGACGTGTTTTTTTTGACTCTCAGAATCGATAATGCACAAGTTCAAATCTCTCCCGATTTCTGAAACAAATACTACAATCGTCTGCAATAGAATCTCCCATGTTTTTAGCAACATCAGCGTTCTTAACATGCTACAATGGCCTTCTTTTGAACGACTATCAATAAATGCATTTGTGAAGAAATTGTCAATATTTCCAATGAATTAAGTAGTAAGTAAACGATTTACCTTTGAACGTTCCTGGCTAAGACAGGATTAAGTACAAGGGCGGAAAATGTAGCCCACGCGTCAATCTCAGTTCCACATCGCACACGATGTTTATCGTTATCGTTAATCGTTGACTGGTACGACTCCAGACTCTTTGCCACCGAGTCTCTTTTCTGTGAGAGTTTTGCACGCACTTAGGTTGCATGCGATACATTTGCGTGCGTTTGATTACAGATTCACATCTCGCATTGTTGGAAAAGGATATAAACATTTCTGTGTGCATTGAGAGTTGATTCTGCAACTCATCTGATCAGCTGAATTTACTGAAGACTGTACCTCTTGTATTCATGAATAAAATTTGGTTGATTGATGTTCCCGGGCACGTAAACTGCAATTATTATTAGTCCCGATCACTGGCGGATCCATGAGGCCATGACCCGCCCCACGAGGCCTAAAGTTTTCCTTTACATTTCCTTTATTTGGCAAAATTGATTTAAATATTTATTTATGTTCGAATTACGTAATTATTTAAACAGTACTGTAGAGTATCGTATCTACAGTACATAAATAATATAAAATATAATAACAACTATGTTTATTATTTAACAAAAATCTACGGTGTGTTCTAACCAAATGATTGGCTATATCCGCCCCTGGTCCCCATAATGATTATTCTGGGAAATGCTACTCCTCTACGATCCGGCGCCGACATACACATCGGTTTGCGGAGTATTTCCACTATAGGTATATCCTCAATAGAGCACCCTCCAGCCGGGACAAACTTAGCGCTCTAGTCTCCCGGCATGTGTGGTAGTGTACTGCAAGTAAATCTGTGTTGGTAAGGAGAGAGGGGAGGACGAGGAAGGAAAGATCGCGCGCGGTCCGTGTCCCGTTAGTGTACTGTTCCGGTATTATCCTGTTATTATTATCTGCTAAATTAATAAGCCTTTTAAGAAATATCATACACAATGTTTTGAAAATTTACGTAATTTTTGCTTTTAGTTAATGCAAATCATGAAACACTTTCTCGAAAACCGGTCCACTTCTTTTTTAATTTTTTCCCTCATGTAAAGTAAAGTACGCTTAAAAATGTAGCAGGTCTAATTTTCTTTTAATTTTCTGAATTTTTGAAAATTGCAAAAGTTAGAAAGAACGCGAGAAAATATGTGCCGTTGTAGTATCAATAGGTAAGATTGTATGACGTAGTATGAATATAGATCGTTATATATGATGTGAACGCTATTCTATTCAGCACTGCAATATTAATCGCATAAAAAGTTTTCCATCAGTTTTAATTTTGAAAATTGTATTTCTAGACTCATCACGTAACGTTTAATGTTCATTCCTCCAAACTTGTAGTTTCTACCGCGTTTCAATCTCATCCAGGGGTTTACGATCCGGTTGCTGTCGTCGTTCCCAGAGGTGTCGCTTCTACGGCTTCGTTCCGCTTGATCCATGCCTTTCGTCCCCGCCGCCCGCAAAATGGGTCCGACCTCCATCTCCTGCGTACAACTCGCTTCTTCACAACACAACTCTGTGCACGACCAGCAGGCATGAGCAAGTTGTTATCAACAATCGGGGAAATAAGGAAACCCAGGGAAATGAACTTAATGCAGAATTGTTTCCAAGCGCTGTACTTGCGCCAACGTAAGAAGCGCCTAGCGTAAATCAGTGCGGCAACATTTGCTTTACACAGAACGAAAGGTTGTGGGCTTCAACCACATGTGAAGAATAGGTGCGTGCACCTTCTGATTATGGTGCGAAATCGCAATCCATATCGTATTTAATTATTATTCTTTAACTCGTCATTGTCTTTTGGCATAAGATATTTAACAGGCCGAAAGGATGAAAACAAAGGTTGAAGAGAAGAATATTACTTGTACAGTAAATTCGAGATGTGGAAGTAGTGTCGAACTATTGAAGATTTCATAAAAATGAAAGCGTTTCCAAATAGTTTCTCCACAGGAACATATTCTTTCATTTATACCTTATTTATTTGATAAAGGAATTAAATTAACTCTGTCTTCTTTGTTCACGTTGATAGATCAAAATAAGATAATGGAGGGATACTAAATGTCTGAACACACATGTATAAGTTCAGTCATAAAATAAAATGCATTCTGTACAAACACACCCAGTAGAATCTACGATAAGACATCTCGGGCAGCCACGTAATGCGTTGGAAAATGTTTCTCGACACATAACTCCCCGGTCGTCACAACGTGTCGTATCCGAGCGATCGCGGTAACCCGAGCCGCCGAAGGTGCGCACCTGGCCGGCGGGCATCCGCTTGCTGCTGAGGCGTCGGACAAAAGCGGAGCGTGTGGCGTGGGCGGCGGGGCGGCGCCTCGGCGACCGCCACTGGGTCAGCTGGCCGCGCTATTCGGTGACGCATCGATCCGCGAGGGAGCGCCGGGGCCCGGCAGGGGCGAGCGGAGGCGAGGGGCAAAGTGCGATCGGATCGCGGGCGGAGGGACAGGCGCCGGGTGGTGGGGGTGAAAAGGGGCGCGACGGCGGACATATTCGCAGCCGAGAGAATGGGAACTATGCACAGCGGAAACGGGAATGAAGGCGCCGAGGAGTGGGGAAGCGACAAAAGAAGACTAAAAGAACGAACCGGAGACAGGATTGGAAGTGGAATGAAGGATCTCTGGAATCGGAGTTGAAAGGAAATAGGTAGCCAAAGAAGAGTTTTGGGGAGGTGTGGGTGACGGCGTGGAAGAGGTGATGAGGACACGGGCTAGGCGGATGGAAGGTGCGAGGTGAATGGGGCGGAAAGCGCGACGGAGTGTGAGGGGGGATGATATTTAGGCTGCTGAGGGAGGGGATGACGGCTGTGAGGATTCCGAGCGGGGCCAGCAATTCCGCTCTGAGGGGTTGGAATAAGGGCCGAGGCGTCAGAAAAAGCTAGGGAAGATTGTGGTGGCGGGGTGGAGATTGAGAGGTCACCCGCACGAGGAAAGCCCATGAATGAAGCCGCTGTGGATTCGCGGGGAGGCGAGAAAATCGGCTGCTGCAGGGTGTGGCCGAGTCAGGGGACGGTTGGGGAAGGATTTGTGGAGACCGAGTGGGCATGGGGTCGTAGGCCGTGGGAGGGACGGAGCGAAGTCGGGTGAAGCCCAACGGGCGCGGAGCGGTGGCAAACGATTGGGCGAGGAGGGAGGCGGGAAGGGGCGGACCTGAGGCGACGGCCCAGCGGGGTCAACGAACGGAACGTCGAGGACGGACCGGGGACGTGGGCCACAGAAGAAGAAATAAAGGGGCGAGTGAGCTGGGGCTATGAAGGCGGAATATGTGGAACTAGAGAAAGGAAGGATATGACGGGGGCTCGAGGGCTGTTTTGCCTGACGATGACAGAGGAATGAAAGGAGGTTGCGAGAGAGATTGTATGGTTTAGGATGCAGTTAAGAGGCAATGCAAAAGAGAATGGATTGCCCAAGCGTAGAACAGTGGCAACATCAGAGGTTTGTGGACGAATAGAAAGAATAGATGGGTTGTAGATTGAATCGAGAAGCAAACAGCAGACATTGGATTGCTGTTGACGGGTCTGGTAGTCAATGCAGAAGAACTAGTGAAAGTGACAGACTAAAAATGACGGGCAGTATTGGATACATAAAGAAAGATGTTAGTGCCATGTGATGTCGAAGACATTATAAATCTGAACTTCGTTTATTCGCAAAATATATTGCTTAGACAGTCTGGGAAATGATTTCCAGTCGTAAACAATATTATAAAAATATTATTTTAAGACTTTATGTCAATGTCATCTACACATTTGAATGATCAAAACCCAACACTGTTTCTGAATTTTAAAACTGTTAACAAAATCAATTGGCCTTGGTTTCTTCTACGCTAAATCGCATTTAAATTATCCGGAATTTAAGGCGATGTAATTAAACTCCAGTGCGTGGACGTAATTTTTTCAGCAAGAAACGACAAAGAGTAGAAACAAGAGGAATGCGAATTAATAGAAGGAAGAGCGCCGCCTTCTTCGAGAGCGGAGAGCAACGCTGAGGCCCAGAGACCCCCGCGGCTGCGAATGGCAACGATGTACCTTCATCTTACACGACACGTGCCCTTTCAATATATTTCATCTGCATTGATATTTAAAATTTCTTTCGAAATGCATTTTCTAATTTGTATTTGAAATTCGATAAAAACCCTATCCAAGTTCAGAATGTTGTTATATCCAATTAGCTGAATTTATTTTGCGCTTTGAAAGTCGTCACCTTAAACGTAAAAATATCTAGAATGCTGCAATAGCGAATTATTAACAATCATATTTGTATAAATAAATATTAATTAGGCAATTAATATTCAATTTAATTATATACCAAATTTGAGATGGTGCATGTCTCTGAACATCCTTGAAAGTGCTAAGACTCCCAAAATGGAATTCAAGATTCTTTCCATTCGTTTAGGACACAAACATTTGGTTCCTCCTTGGATCTTCGAAAACCTAACTGTAAGGTCCTAAGGCGCACCGTTTCCGTGAAATGCGGGAAAGAATTTGCGGAAGGTAAGAAGGACTGAACACAGAAGAAATGTTTAAATACGTTCATTTAAAAGCGAAAGACTTCGATAATGCATGCAATATATTTTTAAGATGTCCGAAAAATTATTTTTCTTGTGACTCCACAGTTGTAAGAGATCATTGGGTATTAGAGACAGAAATTGGATGCTTACAATTGAAGCGAGTCAAGCTATATTATTCAGAACTCCTAGCCAACGTATTGGACAAGTCTTTTTTCAATAAAATTAAAATTTTTTATACAAGTCAAAGTATTTTTATTTTCAACAAAGTAAGTTTTAAAGTTTATTAAAAGCTTATAAACAATATTTTAAAATTATATGATTAAGAAGTTACATTTTAAAAATGTATGCTAATCATGTTCATTTGCTAATTAATATTTAATAAATATCTGCAGTACTAAGAACTGTACATATTTTTTCAATACTTGGACATAATATTTTTAGTAATATCAGTGATTCAATTCTTCTCTGAATGATATTAAAGCGTTTTTGTAGTTCTACATCTATGAGAAATCACATTAGACGATAATTATTTTTCTGGCCTAAAGCGTTCTTCCTTTTGTATGCCCCTCTGTAATTTCCTACATTTTTGGAGACCATATCAGGTTAACTTCCATGGCATCATACTTTCACGTAAAAACGCTTTCTCTTTATTATTCCCCGAGTTTTATTAGTGGCTGGTAAATCGTATAAAACTGTGAGTTCTCAGAATTGAAAACGTCAAATATCTAGGTGCGATTAAATAATACGGTTAAAGATTGCAATTTTAAGATGGTTCCCTAGTGTTTACCATTAACTGAACTTACTCTTCACCGTTCGTAGTATCCTAGAATTATAATAGGAAAATCGAGTGAAAGATATTGTATTTCCTGCAATACAGTGTCGATAAATTGGCATATCAGAGTTTTGACGATGTTTGCCGTCGGTGCTCGTGGGCGAAAGGACGAAGTGGAGAGCGGGGCGTTGATCGCAAGGGTCAGGGTGAACTCTTGAAGAGCCCCAACGCCTTAAGCCCGTGGCGTGACCTGCGGCGGCGGGGTTTCGTGTTCTCGGGCGAAGCGAAACACGCGAAAGTAAGAGTAGCGCCCTGCGTACGACCTACGTTCATTCCAAGGGAGCAGTTTTACACTGAATACATGAAGGCAGCTCAAGACCAAAAGTCAATGTCCCGTTTTTCATTAGCCTTACTTCTAGAACTGTTGCAAATGGCGCAAATATCTCATTCCTTGTTTTTTAATTAACGTCAAAATTATAAACGATTGTAACTAGATTACATCTAGAGGTATCTAAGCGCTTCAGCAATTCACTGTTCGGATTGCAAGGGCGGTATGCGGATTGATTGCAGATTTGCAAAACTACCGCCTGCTTTTATTCCTCATACTGATTCTTAAATTAATTCACACGGACGTTTAAATGAAGAGTTGGTATATTAATTATATTGTTTAATTTGTATGTTGTAAAATATATTTTATAAAATTATATATTTGATCTTGTCAAAATACATACATTGTTTTCCATCATTTTTGCCACGGCACCCAATTTCTTGCCAAATCTGCCAAATCTGCCAAATCTGCCAAATCTTGAGCGCGCCAAAGCAAAAAATACCCATTTTAATTAATATAAAAAATGACAAAGTGTTTTCAAACAAAATATTTACAGAATATTACATTTAACACGTATTTTCTTTTAACCTATCGAGCCCCAAATATATTGATCGAAATCAGACTTTTGGACTTGAACACCTTTCCAACATGGAAATATCCGGGAAATAATTGCTGCCGTTTTTGAAAAAAAATCGCGATTTTCGAAAATATGCCATTTTTAGTTAGCATTCGCTCAAAAACCTTTGGGTTCTTGACAAAATATCATTAGAGATAGTTTGAAGCTTTTATGTTAAATAAGGAAACAGGAGAAATGTACACGGCAAAGAGTGCTGATTCCTGAAAAATATGGCAGATTTAAGTTTAGACTCCGTAAGATGGAAATAGCGGTCAAGAAGTCGGCAAAGAGAATTCTGAAGTAATGAATAGCACATGTCGATGTTGTCCCCCCCCCCCCCCAGAGCCTACACTAGAGGCGCACTAGAGAGCTCAGGTCTTCACGAGGTGACCGCCACAGCCCCACTCCGCTCCCGCCCGTTCTCTTCCGCTCCCCGCCTCTTCCCTTCCATTCCCTTCCCGTTCCCCGCCCGTTCCCAACCCATTCTCAGCCTGTTCCACGCTCGATCCGACCCGATCAGTTCATCACGCTCACAAACCGCCGCCCCACCACCGTCACCCCTCCCCGAAATCTCCTGGCACACCCGCGCTTCGTTCCTCTACGCCCCCTCCCGTTGGCCCCGTCTCGACCCCGCCCCGCTCCGTGACCGCTCCCGCCCCATCACGCTCCTCTCCCGCCCCCACCCCCAGCCGCATACCAGCGCGCCGGCCGGCCGGCCGGCCCATCGCGCGTCCGGCCCGCCTGGCATCGACCCGTGGGAGAGGGGGCTGGCTACGAGGAACGACCGCCCGCCCGCCGCTGTGAGCTTAAAAGCGCCAACGTCAATACCGAGGAGAGAGAGAGGAAAAAATGAGATTTGTGCCGGTACAGTGTTTCGATCAAGTCGTTCTTTCGGATTTTTATCGCAGCGGGAGAGTTGCAGCGCGCTAATGCGGTGACCTTTCGCGAAGAGGGAGCTGTCCGGGGGAGCCTGCGACGGCCGTTCCACGCGTTGTTTCAATATGGGGCAGTGCGTAGCCGCGTTCGAATGATTG